ACCCTGACCTTGCCAAGGATGGGGCTGCCTCAGGGACAAGGCCTGAGGCGGTCTTGGCTCCCTTAGAGTGCTGGCAGGCTGGGGGAACCAGCAACCGCTACCCACCAGGTCCCCTCATGCATCTCCACACGTCTGCGGTTCCCGGCTCCGGCCCCACAGGCATCTCCAGGGGACTCGCCACGTCAGCATCCGTGTTGCTCTGCATGTCTGCACATGTGTGTTTCCGCGTCTCTGCGTGCACTCCCACTGGCTCTGCTTGCGTGCGTCTGTTTCCACAGGTGCTTGTCACTGCAGGTGCCCCTCCGCACGCACATGGAGGTTTCTATTTTTGCACCTGTCTCTTTCTCCATGTATCTCTCTGTGGGGCCCTGGCTGTGCACAGATCTAGGTGTCTGCGTTCAGCGATGAGGTGAGGCCAGGCCCAACACTCAGGCACACCGGGAAGGGGGTCAGGCCTACAGACGGTGCCACCCCAGGCAGCCGGTGTAAGTGTGTGTGTGTGTGTGTGTGTGTGTGTGTGCGCGCGTGCGTGCCTGCGTGCGCACAGAGACACCAGGAAGCTGGGTAAACACGAGTGAGGAGTTCCTGCTGACAGACGGTGCCGCCCGCTCCGGGACCCCGCGAGGCGTCTCCATCTGTCCACCTCCCTGGTGCAGCCCCCTCCCTCTGGCCCAGACTCTGCCTCAGGCATCCTGAGCTAAGCTGGACAAAGAGACCTGTGTGTGCTTGGTAGGGGGCAGCAGCAGCCTCCCTCCCCCAGTCATTGCCGCTAGCCTAGGCTGATCCCCTGTCCACCCCCACCCTAGCCTCATCCATCAGGCCTTAGTTCCAGCCAGCCTCACCTTCCCACTGTCTCCCCACCCTCCCCCAGCCCTTACTCAGGCAGCCCCTCCCTCCCTTCCCCCAAAAGCTCTCCCCTGCCACTCATGCTCAAGTGTTTCTTACTCCTGCCTTTCCCTCCTCCTTCAGGAAGCCACCAAGATAGCACTGACCCAACTGCATTGCTGCTGTGGCGACCTCAGCCAAGCTTTTGTCCCTCTCTGAGCCTTCGGCTCCCAACACCCACCTCTCAGCTCCCACACCCTGTCACCTTTCTCTGCCCAGTGAGGATGGCAGAGAAGAAGTCAGGGTTCCCACTGCAGTATCTAAAGACCAGCGTACGCACACGTGTGCCCCCAACCCAGGTACACAGATCTGTGTGGGCACACCCTGGGAATGTGTGCACCCTAACTGTGCATGCAGGCAGAATCCACAGAGAGCTGTAGAGGCTCCCCAGTACCTCTGAGGTCCACTGAAGTCCCCACGGGTTTTTCTTTCCTTCGCGGGGACCCTTTTATCAGAGGATGGACCGACCTTTGCCCAGAGGGACACACTGCAAAAACCTGGCCAGGGGGCAGGTGTGGGGACCTCCCCGCCTTGTGCGCACTCAGGGGGCGTCGATTGAGCGGGAAGGAGACGGCTCCCTAGAGTTGGGGAGTCTTGAGAAGGGGTGCTGTGACCCAACCCAGGAGGGGACGGGAGGGGCCGCAGCGGCTCGGACCGCAGATGCGCGCCCCGCTTGGACTCACCAGCGCCGCCTTTCCGCCGCGGCGCCGGCTCTCCGCCGTTGCCATAGTTACCAGGCGGTCTGGATTGGGGAGGGACCCTTCCTCCCGCGGCGCTGCGCAGCCCCGCCGCCCTCAGGATGGGTTTTGAGCGGACTCGGCGTGACCAGTACGTGCTGGTGTTGGAACGTGAGTGCTTGCCGGCGGGTGGCCGTGTGTGGGGCCGTCGTGTTCGTTTTGCGGAAATAAGCCGCGGCGTGTGTGCAGGGATCTGCGGTGGAGCGCCCAGCCAGAAGCCCAGCCGGCAGAGGGCGTGATATGGGAGCAGGATGGTGGCTGGCTACTCCAGGGTCGTCCCGATCCCAGTGCCCACACCCTGCCCGATGTGGGGTCGGTCACACCACCTGGTCTCATCCCAGCCCCACCTCGACTTAACTCTGTGACCTTGGGCGGGTTCCTGGATCTCTCTGTGCCTCCATTTGCTCGTATGCTTTACATAGTTTCAGTAAAGATTAGATCAGTTTGCAAGGCATTTTAACGCATTACCTGGAACTAGGAAGTGCTCCATAAACCTGACCTTTATCCCTCTACCTGGGCCTCTGTTTTCCCCGTTGTTAATGGGTTTGGAGTGATCATGTGACGCCAGCTTGAGGAATTTGCCTTGGTCCTTAGCCTGAGTGGTTCAGGGTACAGTGACCCCAAGCTCCTGCGGTTCAGGGTACAGGGGTTATGTGAAGAGGATAAACGTGACAGTCTGATGGTGGGTCAGTTTACACCAGCCTGCTCAGTACTCAGCTTGGCCAGACGGGCACAGGCGTCAGTAAGCGGCTGCTGTTCTTGGCTATATTTGAATGTTCCTGGGGTTGGGGGCGGGGGGCTGCATCAAGTGAGTGTGGAAGGAAGAGCCAACAGCAGGTCATTCCTGAAGGGCTGGAGTCCTCCTGTGAGACATGCTCCCCCCACCAAGGTGCAGAACTGCAGCCTTCCGACTTGTGCCTGGAAGCCTAGTTGGCACAAGGGACTGGCTTTTGGGTCCCGCTGTTTTATGGACTCTTCACACATGCCGGTTTTAGGCTCTGGCGGCTATGCCTGAGGGATGATCTGAGCCAAGGACGGAGCCATTGAGGGCACAGTAATTGAGGGAGGAAAATTAATTGTCCTTAATTTGGCATGATCCCAAAGACTTTTCCCGTGTTAGGAATTCAGAGTACATTCCCAGGACACAGGGCTGCAGATGTATGTTCTTCTTCCCTTCTCCTTGATCAGCACCTTGTGGGTAGAGATGGAGGCCAGCTGACTCCTGGGCCCTAACTCTGGCAGGCCCTGCCCCTGCTTCCCTCTCCACTGCTCAGGAGGGCTGAGCAGGTAGAATTGAGGCCTGGGAAGAACTAGACTGGTGCCCCAGTGGGCTGGGATGGCTCCAGCAGCCCTGAGTGTCCCCCGGCTGTTGGGGAGTCCAGGGAGGGTGGAAGTGGACGGAGCCCTGCCTGGGCCTTCCTGGAAAAGCTAGTGGCGGCAGGACCAAAGGAAGCTGTTTTCCTGCTTGGCATATCCCAAGTCCTGCTTTCATTTCTATCCTCCCTTTTCTTGCCACGGCTAACATTTTCCTTTTAAAAATAAGAGCTTAAAGTCAGGACACTATGGGATCATATTTACAGCCAAACAGACGCTGGGTTCATGTCTGGAATTTATAGGGCTGCAGGTGCGGGTGGTGTTCTGCCAGCTACCTAGAGAAGCTGGGGAGGTGACTCCTACTGGTCCCCAGCCCGAGACCCCACCCCTTCTCCTGACAGCGCCACAGTCCCTTAGGGATGCCCCAGGCAGCTGGAGCCTTGGCAGAGGCCCCCTGGGGTGTGGCAGCAGAGAGAGAAATGTCTTGCTCCTGCCTGCTGGGGCTCCTCCAACTTCCTCTCCTGCCTGCCCACCAGTTACTCCCCTGGGTCTCTGGGGAGACCAGCCCTGCCAGCCTCTACCTTCCTCCTTTCTGAGCATGCCACTTGGCTTTTCCCTGGCATGGGGGCTGACCTCGGCAAACACCCCCACACCCTTGAGCTGGGCCTGCAGGAGGGAGATGGGTGTAGTGCTGGCCTCCCCCTCCACGGGGCCCCACTCCCCTATCAGGAGACTGACAAAGGACAGGGTTCCCATTCCCCCACTGGGTGTGCAGCCTGGCATCCACACTGGTGGAGAGGCTCTGCCAAATTGCCACACTAACTCTGGTTTGCTCCTGGCAGGGGGCGCCTCTCACCAGACCAGGACAGGAAGGGGGCCCCAGGCTCAAGTCTTGGTACTTGCCTGCCCCGGTGGCCCAGCCCTTGCTATTATAATAATGTCAGCCAGTAGTCCTGGGGTTCAGATTCTTTGATACTTTCCAGCACCTTATGTGCATCATTAGATGTAGTCTTCATGACGACTTTATAAGGAGGGCACTTGAACCTTGTTAATAGATAAAAATGGATAAAGGGAGAGGATTAGTAACACTCCCGGGTCGCAGAGCTAGTTAGTGATGGAGTGGGAGCTCTTCTTGGTCTGCACTTGTCCAGAGTCTGTGTTCAGCCCCATGTGCTCCCAAGTGGGGAGTGCGCAGCCTTGCCCCTGTCCGGGCCCCTCAGGGCTGACGCAGGAGTCCATGTGCCGTGAGAGTAGGGGTGTGCTACTGCAGTCCATGCCTGTTGCTCCTGTGGATGTGACTCCTCTGTGAGCCCCCAACCCCTGGCAAGCTGGGAGAAAGCAGCCAAGGAGTTTTGCCTCCCTCATTGACTTTTGATGTCCTCACAGGGCTTTTTTTTTTAACCTCTTCAGCCTCCACATGCTCAGACCTGGTCCCCGGGCCTGACCATGACCTCTAGGGTCAGGACTGAATAAGGAAGGAGATTCAGGGTGGGGACCAGGGGTCGGAGACGGGTCGTTGGTAAGGCAAGGGGTGCCCAGAGTCAGGACCAGATCCCAGGCTGTGACATGGGGCTCTGCCCGGTGGTGGAGCTGAAGGCTGGGTGCAGGCAGCAGAAAGGACGCTACACATGCACAGAAGAGGGTGGGGACTGGATGGCACAGGGAGCCTTTGGGCTGAGTTGTGGCTGGTGATGCCACTGTGGGAGCATGGGCCCCCTCCAGCCCAATGTCTACGAAGCACTTTCTTCTGTGGTTAGGAGAGGCTCAAAACCATTTTCCCAGGGCCTGGAGAGCTAAGAACTCATGTCTGCAGTCTGAAGCCTACTTCTCAGACCTGTAAACCCTCTGACAGGACAGGGTGGGCCCCCTGGCAGCTCGCTGGCCCTGTGAAGGGCAAGGCTGGGCAGTGGGGCTCCAGACTCTGGTTCCTCACATCAGGGCGGGCTTCATACTTAGAATGCAGAGAAGAGAGGAGCCAAGGGTCACAGCTACCCTGGGAATCACGACGGTCCCATCGGGCAGGTGGTGCCAGCCCTAACGTGCACCTTTGCTTTCTGTCTGCAGAGGGACAGCTGCCCTTTGGGTTCCCCTCCATCGACATGGGGCCTCAGCTGAAGGTGGTAGAGAAGGCCCGCACGGCCACCATGCTGTGCGCAGCAGGTGGGAATCCAGACCCTGAGATCTCTTGGTTCAAGGATTTCCTCCCTGTGGACCCCGCCGCAAGCAACGGCCGCATCAAGCAACTGCGTTCAGGTGAGCAGAACGCAAGGGTCGAGGGGCCGCACAGACTTCGGGAAAGGCGCTGGGCCGGACCCCAGTGCGTCCTTCTTGGGCCTGGGAGCTGTGGGAAGCCTCGGCCTGGGTTGACCTTCCAGGGCTGATCAGAGGGCACCTGGTGAGTGTGCCAGATACTGCTGTAGGCCCACCTGACATACCCAGGAAGAGAGCTTGGCAGTGAATCATCGGCAATTCTTTCACCTTCCCGGGACTGTCCGACTCCAGACTTTAGTCCACCTCTGCGCTTGGAGGCACGAGTGTCTTTCCCAGCCTGTGTTGGGCTCTGCGAAGGTGCTCTGTGGGCATTCATCGTCCGCCTTCCCTGGAGCCCAGCCTGAGAGGGGGGCCTGGATGGTGTTTCTCTTTGCTTCTCTGGACGGCAGGGAAAAAGGCCAAAGATGTCTGATTCATCAGGCTTCCAAAGGCTGGACCTCAGAGGCATGCAGCCAGGGTGATGTTCAGCCATCCTTTGGCCACCAGGGCCACCTGTCTCCTCTGGATGTCTCAGTCGAGTCAGCTTGGAGCCCTGCGAACAAGGATGCTGCCTTGAAACCAGGCGGGAGGTGTCGCCCCGTCGATCGATCTGCCTGCGAGGCTCCCGCCAGGATAATTGATTCCGTTTTTGTGGGAAGGGAGCCTTGGAATCAGCTTGGCTGCAGCTCTGCGTCTGCCGCCAGTGAGGGCTGGGCTGGTCAACCTCAGTCCAGGAGCCCTCCTGCTAGCTGTGGGATGGTGGGCTCGGGCCGGATGACCAGCACCAACCATACCCGTCAGCTGTGGTGTCACCTCCTCAAAGGAGGTCATGACCCTGCCCCTCTCAGGGCCTTGCCGGCTACCGAGGTGTCACTCCCTGGGATGCCAGCCCCTCCACATCAGCTCCAGCCGGGTGGGCGCCCCCATGATGCCCAGGGGAGGAGGAAGGGATGAGCCACCCAGCAGGGGCAGGATTCTGGTCCCAGCAGCGGCCGCCTGAGACAGCCTATGAAGTGTTAGCTCATTTAATTTAATTAAAACTCAACAAGATGGAGGCAGCTGTAGCGCAGTTAATTAAAACAGCCATAATCAAGGCAGAAAACAGGCCGCCAGCGTTCGCGGCCGCTGCCCAGCGTGGCACAGCGGCCGCCACGGTTCGGCTCCTCTGCGTGTCCCCGCAGCCCCCAGGCAGGCTCCCCAAGCAGCCAGATGGTCCTCCCTGCAGGCCTGGCCTGCACCCGGCATGGCGACGTCTGTGGCAGCCGTTCCGGGAAGGCACGCCGTCTCGCGTGTTCCGTTCGTTAAGTATTTATGTGGTGCCTGCTGTGTGCCGGGCCCGGTGCCACCCATTCACGGCTCCGTGAGTCGGCTCCCGCGCGGAATGCTGCTCACTGGCCTCCTCGGCCTCTCAGCAGCCACCCTGCCTCCCTCTCAACCCACTCGCTCGCCTGTCGCCCCGGCTTCCTTCTTTTCTGAGTGCCCCTTCTCTGAGTGCCCCTTCTCTGCTCGGCAGCCCAGTCTGCTCACTCCTCCAGGCAGGGAGCACGTGAGCCCTGCTCTTGCCCCATAGACAGAGCCCTTCCCCCGGCTGGCTCGCCCACTCCCGGAGCTTCAGGTTCCATCTGTCTCCACGCCTGCGAGTCCCTGTTCTGTCTCTCTAACCCAAACATCCTGCTGGAGTCCTAGACTAAAAAAGCCCTCTGCCTTCTGGGTGTCACCCTGACTGTGAAGGGGGTAACTCCTTTCCGAACAATGGTGTCCTGCTTCCACTGACCCTCTCTCTGTGAGTGGCAGCCCCTCTAACCTCGAACTTAGGATACACCACAACTCCTGCTCCACATAAGGAACTCCCTAGCCCTCTTGATTGGTCACCCATACTGCTTTCATGTTGGTCCTCTCTCCTCCTCCAGTATCCCAGGTCACTGAACACTGCTCTCCAGGCTCTGCCCTTGACTCGGTCCTGCAGCACTGGGAGGGTTTCCTGCGTGTGCCCCATGTGCTCTGACGACCTCAGTGGCATCCCGCTGCCTCCATGGTCAGGTGCACACTCCTGAACAGGCACACACAGCCTTTCTCACTCTTCCCCAGCTCACGTCTCTAGCTTCTTCTCATCGGGTCCTGGCTTCACCCACTGGCCTGTTGGCCTCACTCAAGTTACTTAACTTTGAACTTCAGTTTCTCATCTTTAAAAAGGAGTTACAGTGAGGATTAAGTGAGGCAGTGGCAGTGAGAGCTGTAGCTGACTGGCCTGTGATGAGGAGTCTGCTAATGGGGCTCTTTGTAACTCCAGTCACTCCCTGATTTGTAGCGAGCCCCCCAGCCATATCCTCACTCTCTACTCATGTTCGCTAGAACGTGAAGCCCCCCTTCTCTGCCTGAGGCCCGCTCCTTCAGAACTCCTCTTGCTATGTGTTGTCACCATCTGGCTCCAGCTCTGGTCACTTAGGCTGGGTGTTCTGCAAGGAGGGCCTGGGGTTGGCTACCGCCTGCAAGGGTCTGGCAGGTGATCAGCACAAGCCCAGCTATAGGACAGATATCTCTGAGCCCTGAGGATAAACGATTTCCTGATGACCTTTGGACCCTGTCCTCGCGGACCTGCTTCTCAGGTCCGGGGAAACCTTTCTTGTTTGACCTTTCCTGCCACCTGAAAGCGGTGACCTAAGGGTAATGGCCCAGGATCCAGCCCCTGGGATGGCATCTGAGGGGCCTCAGTCATCCCACTTGCTCAATAACGACTCTTCCCATCACTGCCTGACCCTGGTCCTGACCCTTGACCTAGCAGCTGCTGCCCCTGGCCTGTACCGTTGAGAAGGGTGTGGAACTGTGCCAGGCACATCTGACAGGGGCATCCCTGATGGAGTGGAATAGCCCCAAGCGCTCAGCTTTTACAGGGACCTCACAGTTTATGCATCACCAACCGTTTACAAAGTGCTTTCCTGCCTTTGGTTGCACTTGATTCTCTTGCAACTGTGAGAAGTAGGGCAGTTTGTGATTATCATGCCTGCTTTACAGCCAAGTTAGGGAGTCACCCACCCAGGGTCACGTGGAGATCCGAGGCTGGGGAGCTCCCCTGGGACGGCATCCAGGGCCTTCTACTATCACATCTGACTAACCTGGACCTGGGGAGAGGCTGGGCCCTGCCAGGGCCCCAGAGCACCACAGCCTCATCTTCTCCAAACCTCAGGCCCTCCCCGACTGTACCCAGAACTCCTCAGCTGTCTGCAGACTGAGCCCCAGCACATGGCACCAGGGCGTGGCCCCCTGGAGCAAAAGCATGAGACAAGTGCATGTGCACGGCCCAGGCACAACCCCTGCTCAACAGGTGCTTTCTCTCCGAAGTGACGTCACCTGCTGCCACAGCCTGTGTCTCTTGAAGGATTTGAACTTGAGACCCAGTGTGGGCCCCAGAGGAATGGGCACAAACTCAGGGAGAGTGGAAATCAGTCAGGAGCGGGCAGCATCACTGGAGCCAAGACGGGGCTGACCGCCAGGTGGGGCTCCAAACCACTGCTGTGGGCCCCATACTCTGCCCAACCTGGAAGGACCACTGTGGGACACCCTGTGCTCCGCTCATCCCACGGCCTGAGTGTGCATGCCACCATCCCCATCACTGCAGAGGACCACTTGCCCACACTGTCCGCTGTTCACCCAGACACCTGAGCCTGGATGCCAGCATCTGGCTGCAGAGAGAGGCCCAGCGGCCCAGACAGATGGAACTCTGGTGGGCCTGAGGGCTGCAGCCCCCATTCCATCCCACTACCAGCTGGTCTGCCAGGAGGGCCTGCTGTCAGCAGTGGTCCCTTTTATCCGAACACTCTGGCACACCTCAGGGGCAGTGTGGATCTTGAGGGACCCTCCTGTCTCCCACACTCATCACGGAAAATGGAAAAGACAAATTCTTTCAGTTTGATGGGGAAATGACTTTCCAGAGAGGCCCAGAGTCTTGTCACACAGCAGGTTAGGTTTTGGAATTACTGAGGCCAGAGCTAGGGATCCCAGGCCTGGAGCATTTAGGTGGCCACCCCTTCCCCTCCCTTCCCCCCTCCCCCTCCCATGTCAGACCTGGACTGTAGCAGTAGATCAGCCTATGGACATTGCGGTCTCAGGACCCCTGGCTGTAAATATCAGAGGATCTCTAAGAGCTTTTGTTAGTGTGGATTTTATTTATCAGTATTTGCCACTTTAGATGTTAAGACCAAGAAGGTTTTAAATATTTATTAATCCACTTTAAAATAATTTAAAAGCCCATTACATGTTAACATAAACAACATCTTTTAATGGAAAATAATTATATTTTGTGAAACAAAAGCGTTCAATGAGAAGAGTGGCCCTGTTTTACACTTTTACAAATCTCTTTAATTTGGGGCTTAATAGAAGGCAGCTGGATCCTCCTGTCTGCTTCTGTCTTTGGTCTGTTGTGATATCACATATCCTGATGCCTCCAGGAGACTCTGTTGTACGTTTATGAGAGAACAGGAGTGAAAAAGGCCAAAAGCTTCTCAGTAGTGTGAAACGGCTTAGACCTTGCAGACCCCTGGAAGGGCCTCAGGAGCCCTGAAGGTCCGTGGACCACGCCTGGAGGATCACCGGGAAGATGATTCTCCTTGGACCGTCTCTGTGCGCCTCACACACTGCCCAGGGCCCAGCGCTGCCTTTGCCTTCTCTCCAGCCTGTGTGTCTGCAGGAGGCAGCCTGGTCCAGTGGGAAGGCCGTGAGCCAGCCCTGGTTGGCCCCTGCCACCTCATAAGCTGTGTGGCCTGGGGCTCCGAGCACTGGATGCTCCTCAGCCCCCGAGCACTGGATGCTCCTCAGCCTCCGTTTCCTCATCCTTGCCAAGATGGATAATTCGTCCTCAGTGGGGTGTCATCGGGTTCAATGAGCCGTAACCAGTGTTTGTCTCCCGGCACGCTACTCTCCCCAGGAGTGGGCAGAGTGGACAGCGCTGACCTGGACCTGTCCGCAGGCCCCCACTCCTCTGGGTGGAGCAGCCAGAGAGAGGGGCCGCTGTTGGGGAGGGAGCCAGTCCAGACCTGATGACAGCCCCGCACCAGGCGCTTGCAGAGTGAGCATCTGGCCCTCGAGGCTGCTGATTCGCAGGTTTATAAGGCAATGAACAGGCAAAGGGGTGCAGGGAATGGCCTCTGCCTCTCACCAGCCAGGTTGGGGGTACTCTGCAGTCACTTTGTTTAGCAGGGTTGAGTGACCTCACAGGGATCTGCCACCGGATCGTGAGGAGGGGGCTGGTGTGTGTGTTTGTGGGGGGCTGGGCTGGTGGTGGCCTGAAGTGAGCCCTCCCTTTAGCCCTTTCTTCTGTCTGCTTAAACGCTTTGCTTTGGGTAAGTCCTCTATTTTGAAATCCTGCTTCATCCTGTGCACTTCAGGAGTCCCTGCAGGGTGGGGTTATCGCCTCTTCTCTTCACCTTCCCCCTCCATTGACCTCAGCCATGGGGTCTTCAGGAGCCCTGCCTCACTGTCCTGATTCCTATCACCACCACCCCCCCCAGCCCTGCTGACCTAGGCTCAGTTGCCCCCCTCCTCAGAGCCTTCCAGTGATCTGGGGAACACAGCTTCGCCTCCACGCAGCTGGCGCTTGCTCACATACCACTTGCAGCGGCCTTAGCCAGGCCTCAATTTCTCCGTGTATTTATTAAGGCCCTCTCTTGCGTTTTATTTTATCTGATTTGGCTTTTTGTGGCTTTTCTTCCTTTTGTACTAATGCTTCTCTCTGATCTTATTTGCATTCAAATTACCTCGCCAGGTGGTTCACCAATCAGAGGTAAGAATGCTGTCCGTGCATCTCGCCACGCCACGCCACGCCTCGCCACGCTGTCACCACCACTCCATCCCGTCCAGTCCCGTCGTCACCTCCCCCATCCCCGCCTCTCCAGCCTCCTCATCTCCAGCTCCGGCCCCTCAGCACCACCGGCCACCACACGCATCCACTCTCAGCCATCCCCTCCTGTGACTCATCCATTCCAAGTCTGGGTTGTGGACATAACTCGGCTCATCCCCGCCTTGGGCCTGCAAGCCCACTGACCAGGCCTTCTAGGCCAGCCCTGCAGACAGAAGGGGCTCTGCTGACTCCTTCAGGGAAGCCAGGCCCTGGTCGTCAAGGCTAGCTAGAGGTGGAGAATATTCCCATGAGGTGGGGGAGCATGACCAAGCCTTGCCTTTCTTCTCAAGAATCTCCTTGGTCTTGGGGCCTTTAATTATTGCTAGCTCCCCCTTCAACATCAGCCCTGTGGTAGATTGAGGCTCCCCCTGTAAATCCCTCAGTCCAGCAAACACTAGGAAGGACATGCAGTTACAACAGAGGCTGGAATGACAATAGAAATTAACAGGGTCCTGGGTAGCCTGATCCCCTGACCTATGAGCCCCAGCTGCTTTCATGCTGCAGGACCCTACATTCTGGGATTCCAAGCCCAGACTGGACTCAAAGATCCACGAAGAGCCACATTCAAGTTTGACTCACTTCATGTCCTTTGAAAACTCAGTTTCTCTCTCGAAAGTCTATTTCCTCCTGTTTAGGCTGAGGCCAGGGACCCACCTCATGGGGTATGATGACTAGAGTAGAGGGCGAGGATTGGGTATGGTCTGGCCCAGAGCAGACATCCTGTAAGATGGTGGCTTCTGTAGTATTTGTATTCACATCGTTTTCTCCCCGCCTCTCAGTATTCTTGGGCACCTCTAGACCCTCGGAGTTCAGGGCCAAGCTGTTTTCAGAACAGAAGATGGGGCCAAGCCCCCACTGCAGGCTCATGGTGTTGGTTCCACATTTGGGGGTTTCTGTGTGCAGTAGTCTCAGGGTCTGCGTGGGGTCCCCTGACCAGTCCTGGTTCTTAATGCAGGGGAGCCTCCTCCTCCACCCAGGTATCACTTCCTGCTCTCACCTGTGGCACCAGCTGCCAGGGTTCCCCCCTCCCCTCAGCTGAACTGACCTGCCTACAGCCCCCTCTCCCCTTGGCCAGGGGCCTGACCCCCATCTGCTTGAATGAGCATTTTCTGTGACAGCGTCCATCCATCCCATAAACATGACCTGTTGGGTGCCCATCAGGGCTGTTCTCATAGGAGCTGGGTATTTGGCATGTGTCCTGGGTCCTCATGCGCCCTGATGCTGGTAGGGAGGGCTGACCAGGACCACAGAGCCGGCCAGCCCTTTCTCCCTCTGCATTGGGGTTGAGCCTAAGCATCCCTCTCTCCACCTCCAGTGTTCATAGCCCCTCCTGTTGCCTAGCATTTGGGTGATAAAAGAGAGGTATCAGGGGTGAAGAGGCTGTTAGAGCTCAGACCTGCAGTGGGACCCCACACCCCCCGCCCCCCGGAGCCTGGGCCACGAGGGCTCCTCCTTGTGGCTCCTGTCCCATCGGGTCAGGCGGGATCGGGGAGTTCTGTCTGCGTCCTGTGTGGGTGTGACCGTCAGCCGGCCTGGGCTCTGGGCGGGGTAGGTCTGTGTAGGCAGGAGTTTCTGTCAGGCTGTGTCCTGTGAGGTTGTTGACTGTCCGTTGGAGCGTCCTGCGTGGGTGTGATTGTCTGTCAGCTTGTTCCAGGGAGCGGGTGTTGCTTGTGCCTCGGGGTGTTCCTGTCATGACGGTCCGCCCGGTATATCCTCGTCAGCAGCAGTGCTCTCAGGCGCTTACTGCCAGGGCCAGGGGTGGCCACGTCCTGGTTTCACCCCCATCCCCCACCTTGCTCTCGCCTTGACCTCCCCTACCTGGTACCTGGACCTGCCAGGACAGGCCCCGGCCCTTTCCTCCACCTTCTGTGAGGGTCATTTTCAGCGCCCACCCCCCTCTCCCCCTCCCCAGGTCCCGACTCCTATTTGTTCGTCTGCGGCCAGAGCAACGCCTCAGGGCGCTGGCCCGAGTGGGAGCTGCAGCCTCCATTAGCCTCCTGAATTATGCAGGAGCCGCGGTGGGTCGAAGCACTTTAGCAGGGACCAGGCTGAGGAGAGGAGCCGGAATGGGTGGGGCTGGCGGGGGTGGAGGTGGGGGCGGGGAGGAGGGGTGTTGTGGGCAGAGGCTGCTGTGCCCCAGGCCGCAGGGCCAGCCCTTCCTTCCTGTGGGGTTCTGGTGGGCAGTAGAATCTCAGGTCTTGCCCGAGGAGGGCATTGTACGCTCATGGGTTCCAGGCTGCTCCCACCCACGCCTGGCTCTGTGATGCTCTGATTGGGGATGCTCATTAGCAAACAGGCTCCAGTACTGCGTACTGGCCAGAGCAAAGCAGATGCTTGGTGGAGTTGGGGGTTGGGGTGGAGCCCCTGGCCGAGCCCACAGGCCCAGCTAGACCGCGAGTGGGGCGGGGTTGATATCCAGAGCTTGACCCTCGGTTCCGTCCAAGAGGCCTCTGGGCTTGTCAGGGAGAGCTTCCCGGAAGCAGCATCTGTGCCAGGTGTGGCCCTGATGCCTGCCACATCTGGTCAACCCGAGCCTCGGGTGCTGTCGAGACCCCTCCTCAGGTTCCAGGCCAGACCGCCGTCTCTGTGTCCCCACAGGTGCCTTGCAGATTGAGAGCAGCGAGGAGTCGGACCAAGGCAAGTACGAGTGTGTGGCAACCAACTCCGCAGGCACTCGGTACTCGGCCCCTGCCAACCTATACGTGCGAGGTAAGGACTCAGGTGGTGCCCAGCCCTGCCTGACCCTGTGGGGCGAGCCGCACCTGCCGGGCTTGCTGCCCAGAACCTTGGTGTGGACCCACCGGGCTGCCCTGGGCCTTGTCTCTCCTCCTTTCTGCCTCTCTCTGCAGCAGCCGTAGCAGCAGCAGCTCCCACTGGGCAAGGTCCTAACATCCGCCTGACTTTGCCTTCTTCCCACAGGCCCTTTGGGAACAGCCGCTCTTGGGAGCATTTGTATCTCTTATAGGTCCTGCCTCATGGGCCTGGAGCCCCACGAGAGTCTAGAGCCTTCCGAGCAGACTGTGTGTGTGTGTGTGTGTGTGTGTGTGTGAGTAGGCGCACATGTCTGTGTGTGAACATATTCACACCTGCCTGGTCTTCCTTGAGTCTGTCCTGCCCACCCCAGCAGGGTGGGCTTCAGGCCAGGTGTACCTGCCTTTGACCAGGTTTGCCTGGGCCTTCCTGGAGGAGGAGCCAGCTGTGCTTTGTCATCAGCCGGGACCCTTGTGTAGGGGGGGGTCAGGCCCAGGCAGCTTTGAGCCCCTGCAGGTGAGCACCTTGTGCGTTTAGGGTGTTTCTCACTGGGACTAAGTGGGTCACGTGTTCTCAAGTCCAGGTGCCCAGCAGAGAGGGTCTGGGGCTGTTTCGGCCTGTCCAGTCTGTTGTGCTCACAGCCCAAGGGGAACCGAAGCTGGCCACCTGCCCCTTCCTGAGAACACTCTGGGTTTTGTGTACACAGTGTCCAGGAGGGGCCCTTGGCACCCCTTCTACCCCTACCATCCCCCCACTTAACCCTCCTTCATAGATGGACGTCATGAAAAGTGAAACCGTCTCCCCTCGGGGGATTTCTAAAGGAAAGTGGATGCCGCTTCTTCGCAGTGATGATTTCATCATGCTAAGTGCTTAGTATAGCTTCACAACGGGTGTCATCTGCCCGTCCGCTCAGGCCAAGTGTGGGGCAGGGCGATCGCAGTGGCCTGTCCCACCCTTCAGGGCCACGTGGTCAGACAGATCAGAGAGAATTAGGCCATCAGCCGTGAGCTTATTAAGGGGCTGTGCTGTCAGGGCACAAGATCCTAAGAGGCCACAGGTGAGGGGAAAATGGGGCTTCAGAGGGTGGCTGATGCCTCATCAGAATTGGGGGCATGGGATGGGAGGTCCCCAGTGGTCCCCTTCTCAGATGTTCTGCTCTTCAGGGCTCACCTGAGCTGTCTTAAGGAACAGCATCAGGGCATGGAGGCTAGGAGCATGCCCGTCACCGGGATGGCCAAGATGAGTGGGTCACAGATTGCACAGCCTTCCCCCCATGGTGCCCTCAGCAGAGCTTCTCACCAATGCACTGGGTCCTAATGAGTTCCCTCTGAGAAGAGCAACTGAAGACCCTGCTCAGAGACCTCCCTCCTCCTCCCAGACAGTTCCAACTGCTGTGTGGATCTGACCCAGCACTTCTTCCAGAAGACCATCAGGTTGAGAATGTGGAGTTTCGAGGCCTCAGCAGTGAAGTCCTTCACTGCATGAGGCTGCACCAGGGAGAGGACGGGCAGGCAGAGCTACAGGCACCGTACTAAGGCAGAAAGCCCAGAGCTGGGGCGGCTGAGCTCCTCGTCATCATCTTGGCGGGGCAGCGTTCTCTGAAGTCACCATCACCCTGGCCTCAGCCCGAGGTGGGACAGTGGGTCTCTTTGGATGAGCTGAGCTCAGATGCTGTAGCTGGTGGCTCCGGCCCTGACCAGGCGGATCTTACCTCCTTGTCTGTGGGACCTCCGCTGTCCACACATGATGGGTTCAGGCAGGACTCTTAACTGGGTCCTGCCATGGCCCATCCCCCACTTCCACAGGTCTTCCTGAACTGCTTTCCTGGGCCTATTTCCACAGGCCTTTTGGGCCAGGAATGTGGGTGTTCCTTTAGTGCTAGCCCCACTTGCTAGGAATCCTAAAATAGGGACAACCTCACTTTGGTTTTCCCTCCCTCTTACTGGCATGCACACACACTCCTGTGGGGCCAGTCCTCAGTCCGTCCCTAGGACGTGTCTGGTAGCCAGGCCCCACCTGAATCTGTACCTGTGGGGCCAGTCCTCAGTCTGTCCCTAGGACATGTCTCATAGCCAGGCCCCACCTGAATCTGTACCTGCCCTGCTTTGCAGAGAGAGATTTGCCCTATAGCCCTAGGACAGAACCCTAAGCCATGCTGCTAGGATCCTGGCATCTGGGGTCCACCCCCGCTCCTTATCACAGTCCTGGCAGAGCTCCTGCTTACTGCCCCAGCAGTGCTGAGAACCCCATCAGCTCCTTACTCTTCTGGGACACCAGCTGCTGTATCCTGAACCCCTCTTGGGGGTGGGTACACATGGAGAAAGCCTTCAGTGCTGGCCTCTGCCCGCCTGCTTCCTGGCAGAGCGGTGGTAAAGCTTCCTTCCAGACAGGGCACCTGTCACCCTCCAGGCCAGTGGGAGGCCCCCACTGGGCTCAACCTCAGCATCTGGTCGGTGTGGACGCCAGGTCAGGTTTCACAACCTCAATACCATTGACATTTGAGGCCAAGTAACCCTTTGCTGTGTGGGGCTGTCCTGTGCATTTTGGGGTGTTTACTGACCCACTGGATGCAATAGCACCCCCTGGTCACAGCTCACAGGGTCTCCAGACCTTGCCCAGTGTCACTTGGGGGAATCCTCCCTCCCGGCCATTACAAAGCACTCTTCAGATGAACAGCCTTGCTCTGGGTCTTGTCTCCATCCGTCTCTAACTCTCTCCTGCCACATACACGGGGCCTGAGGTCATGTCTCCTCCTCGGATTTGGCCCCAGTGTCCACCTCACACCCCTCCTCTGTCCCGCAGACTCGGGGCTTCCACTACCTCTCTGAGACCTACAGTGGCTGCATTTCACAGGGCCGCGCGTGGAGAGCTCCCAGCCCGGTGCTGGGCATGCAGGACGTGCCGGGCAGTCAGTAGCTGCTGCCGCCATGGGGAAAGCACCACAGGGGCTGCGCCACCCAGTTTCGTCTGACTTTGCTCAGTTGCCTGCAGCTCCACCCACGGTCTAGCAGGCCCAGGCATGCCGGGTGGACCAGCCTCTCCATCCCACTCTCTCCCCCAGTGACTCACTCGCTCCTTCCATCCACAGCGTCTCTCCCGTCTAGCTCTTAGGACGCACAGCTGCCAGGGACCAGGGACGGGCCCCACTTTCCACCGAGCCTGGCCTACTTGCCCCGCCCTTCCCCACTTCTCTGCAGGCGCCTGGCCACTGGGCCGCAGCTGTCTCTAAACGGGGAAACGGCTCCGTGGCTTCTCCCCACAGGCTCCAGACCAGCTTCCTCACACTCTGGTGCCATGCAGCGTGGGGCTTCCTCAAGGTGGCGGGGTTCTAGTGGCCCATGTGGCTCGGTGGGTTTGTGGGCTGTGGGTGGGCCCTGAGCTCAGCGGGTCTGTCTGAGCTTTGGGGTGCGCGTGAGGCACGGGGGCCTGCCTGTGCCACACTCCCACCCGTCCCTGTCCCACCCTTTGGCGCCCGGCACCTGCCGGCGGGACCCAGCCCTGTCCACCCGTGTCCTCCATGAGTCCTGAGTCTTTTGTGAGCGGCGTGGTCCGCGCGCACCTGTGGGCACGTGCGTGTGCGTGGGGCACGAGAGTCTTGTCTCGTTTCCGTGCTGTGTGGGCAGATGAAGGTTGGCCTGTTTTTACTCTCTCTGTGTTTCTCCTTGTCTTTTTTTTATTCCCTCCTCATCCTCATCGCACTCTGCCATCAACCCAAACTCTCATCTCTCAGATCAGCGAGAAGGTTGGTCCTTTTCACTTCTTATCCATCTACAGTTCACCCATCGACGGGATGCCCCCGTCAGTAGGGACCAGCGGGCTCGGTCAGCTCTTCGGGCTCGCCCCTGTCAGGCCTGCCCGCCCGTCGGGCTCTGCGCTCCCGTTGTTTGAGCTGGCAGGCGGGCAGGACCAGGGGTGGGTGGGCAAGCCCCCCTGCCCCGCATGTTTCTGCTGCTTGGGTCCTTGACCACCCCACGTGTCTGCATGTCCCCTTAGCTGGGCTCCCCTGCTGGGGAGGTTGGGTGGGCATGGTGCATGGCACAAGACTGGGCCCTGCCTTTGTGCCCAGGCCAGGCCAGCTGTCTGCTCCAGGTGGAGCTCAGAAGTAGTTATGGGCTCTGTAAGAGCTGTAGGGCTTTATGTGCACCTGTGGGGCCTTACACAGTTCCCACCTGCCCCCTCGCTTAAAATCCATATTTGCTAGAGCTCAGCTGAAACCGTTGGGAAGATGAAGGGGAAGGCTAATCTAGAATGAGCTCACCCCTCAAGATCCTGCAGCCCAGGGTGAACGTCCTCCAGGGTCTGCACTGTCCTTGAGCACCTCCCCGAAGCTGGACAGACGGCAGTCATGCTGTGCCCACAGAGCTTAGTGTCTGGGACACAGGGTGGGTGGCGTCACTTTGGCTCACTGAGGAAGCCTCCCATTGACTGGTCTCTTCCCTCTCCAGCTAGATCCAGATGAGGGTCTTCCCACCTGGTCCAAGCCTTTCTCCCAGACAGCTGGCATTTCCTCAGCCCCACGCTGGGTGCTGGGCTTTCGACCAGGAGCTCACATCTGACCAAGCGGTCAACTGCTGCTTAGAGCTATGTGTGAGCCTCGCAGCAGCCCTAGCAGGGCCGTGGGTCGGGGAGGGCTTCCTGGAGACCTCGCAGCAGCCCATTCCAGAGCAGTCTCACACCCGAGGGGCCAGGCCCCTACTCCCCGCCCTCGGTCCAGCCACAGGGGCCGAGGGGCAAGGACACAGGCAGCGGTCCTTTCTCTGTCCCTTGGCCTGAGCGGTTAGAGGAGGCGCTCCTGTCCACTGGGTGAAGCCCCAGAGGGCAGACTCGGGCCACTTGGTGCCCTCTGAGTTCTCTCTGTGGCTTGGGTTTCCTCCACGAGGAGAGGGAGCCTGTCGGGAGGAGGACTGCAGCCTCGGCTCAGATACCAGCCCTGAGCATCATCATATGCACTCCTGAGCTCTGGGACATTTCAGTTACACCGTTTCGCTGACCGGGCAAATCTGCCCGGGGCGAGTTCAGAAAACGGTCATCAGCAGAGAGAGCCCAGCCTGCCACCGCCTCCCCCCCGGGCCCCCTCCCCCGCCCTCCCGGTCCCTTGTCCCTTCTCCTTTTCCCATTCCGTGGTTCCACCAAAAATAAGCATGTACACAAATATTTAATGGGAAGGCAGAAATGAGTTTCTAAATATTCCGGGGGGGATTTGCCGTGCTGGTAATTTGTTTGGTGCTGATAATTACATCTTACATTTTTCCAGCTTTACTTAAAACTGTGTGCCGAGTGCGCCAGCATTTAATTACTGCTCTGCGGCAGCCACAAGGTTATTTATTAAAGAGTTATTTTATCTTGATACGGTGAATCCTGCCCCTTATCCCCTCCTTAATGTTGTGTTATTTTCATCAGAGAAATTTCCGCGAGCGAATGCCGATTGCGGGGCTGCCTCCCCCCTGCGATTAGGCTGTCACTCCACTGAATGCCGTTGCCTCCAGGCGCCGCACCGCCCTATTATAGGGGGTTGTCAGCTCAAATAATTAGACTTAAAAGTTACAGCTGAAATATAATCCAGAAATGGCAAGGCCCTGTTTTGGAAATTGTCTATAAAATGTCAGCAGTAAGGATGCTCGGGGAACAGTAATAGACCGTCATTGTTGGAGCTCAAGATTAGACCCTAAGTGCATTTTTCCCCGGCCCTGGTTTTTCCTTCCCTGCTGTTGCTGCTGTCAATAGACTGAGTCCAGGGCGAGTCCTGCCCCTTCTGGAGGCCTCCTGTCCGCGACGGCAGGAGGAGTGGCGGTGAGACTGCTGCAGGGAGGCACCAGCCACTCCTGGCACTTGGGACAGGGGGGTGATCATCCAGAATTTGGTACTCCACAGATACTTAGGATCCCAGAAAGTGGTCACCCGCCTCTGTCACCCCCCTCCTCTCTGTAGTCCTAGCCTCTACACCGTGGGGAAGATGAGCTGCTCTGTGGTGAGACCCGCCCGGGCTCTTTGTGTTGGCTGAAGCCCAGCAGGCCTGTGAAGGGAGCTGCCCTGCTGGAGTGTGCCATCCAGGAGTCCCTGGGCTTGAGGCCCTGCCCGGGTGCCAGGGGTGATGCTAAGGTCACCTCTGACCTCTCACTCATCCTTTGCCCCTGGGGTTCTCCCTTCCACTTGCATCTGGAAGGGGGGGAATTAAAAATAAAAACAAACCCTTCTCAGTGTTAGTTCCCCAAGGGCCCTTATTTTCTGGTGCTGGCAAGAAGACCTTGTCCTCCGGGACTGTTTGAAGTAAAGCCTGGTCAGTTTTCTTCACGGCTTAGGTTGAGACCTAAGGTTTATCTACCAAGGACCTACTTCCTTCTCCTGGGGCTCTTTGTTCTCATGTCCAGGGACCCGATCAGGTCCCAGGATTCTGCCACTGACCACTGTCAAGCGGACAGGTGTGTCCCTGACACAGGCTTGGGGCCCATCCTCATGCCAACTGGAGAGTGTTCTCCCGCCAGCCTCAACAGACCCAGAAGCTTCTTCATGGAGCCGCCCTGGTCTCTCCATTCACCCTGTGAGCCAGGGCTCAAAGGGGCCTGAGCTTTTCATCCCACAGACCTGCTCCCAGTATGTGTATAAACACATCCCTGAGTGTCAGCTGTCAGTTCCCACCTCTTTAACTGGATGCCCATGCACAAAGAGGAGACGGGGCAGCCCCTGGCAGAGAGGAGCAGCAAGGAAGAGTTGGTCAGTTAGGACCGCTGAGCCTTTTTGCTTGAGCCAGGCTACATCTTCACCAGCGGGCATGCCGCACCTCATGACCTGTGCCCCAGGCTCAGCACCAGAGCCCAGGGAGTGCCTGCACCGTGTCTGAGCCTCCCAACCTCACCTTTTGCCATTTGTGGGGAGTGCTCAAAGGAAGCTCTTTGTCATGGCTTTCTCCTGCCAGCCATGCCCCCAGGACCCACGTGTCCCCCTGCCACACAGCACTGCTCTACCTGAACAGTTCCGTCATCACTCTGCAGACCCCCAGCTTTCGGACAGATGACAGAAGCCCACTTCTGTCAGCTTAACTCAAAACACAGAAACTTGTCTTACAAAACTGGAAGTATAAGTAGATTGGCGTCAGGCAGGGCTGGATCCAGGTGTTTAAACAGTTTGGTCAGGCATTTGTCTGTCTCTGTCTCTACCTCTGCCCTCCTCAATAACTCCTTTGTTCTCAAGCAGGTCCTTTTGAGTGTTGTGAAAGGTGGTCCCCAGCCCCCCACCCCCCAGGTTAGAGACCAGAAGTGGAGAGGAAAAGCCACATGTCTTAATAGTTTTCACAAAAGGCCAAAGGTTCTATCTCTTGAGCCACATCTGGGTTGCATATCCCATGAACCAAGAGTCGGGGCTGAGATGGTTCTCCTAAGAAGATGTGGATGCCAATTCTAGGAGGAGACATGCTGACACCCCAGCGAGCGTGAGTCACAGAGGGAAGTAGACTCAGTCCCTGGTGCTGGCCGTGGCACTGGCAGTCCTTTGGCTCTGACTGGAGGCTTTGGAGGGAGGCAGCGTGGGTACAGCTGAGGCTGAGCAAAGTGAGGTCCCGTAGTCTGGGCTGAGGAGTCATTTAAAGCTCCATGCAGTTTTTAACAGGGCAGGTGATGTGAACAGATAAGGATTTGTGCCGGTTATTTGTGGAGGGCCAGTGACTGGGTCGGAGGATGACCAGGGCAGGAGGAGCAATGGAGAACACAGTATAGTAATCCAGGGAAGGATGGTGGCTTGGACTTCGGAGGTGGCATTCACCTGTGGACTTGGCAAGAAAAGTGTTGGAAAGATATTTTAGGTGGTGCGTTAGCAGGACATGGTGATTTGCTGGATGTCTGGTCTGTGGGTTGCAGCTTTGACCTCTGTGTAGTGAGGTCACAGGTTGGACCAGGTGGTGTCTGCAGTTACTTCCAGCTCTGATTTCCGTGCTTTTGGGCTGAGCGAGCAGCAGTCTGGCACCTGTGGTGGAGGTGTTCCCGATGTGGCACTGTGGGTCCTTTGCATGCCTGGGCTCCCCAGCAAGGACCCTCAGAGACCTGCACCCTGAGTGGTCCCCTCTGGGTCTCTTCGCCTCACTGCCTGCCTTCTTCAGCCCTGCGTGTAGGGGTGCCCAGGAAGGACACACCCCAGCCTCTGCCCACCAGTTGCATGCCCTGTCTGCATGCCAAGCATGTCTACCCATGGCTAGGTTTTGCTTGCCTTCCCTCCTTCTGCATGTTCCGAATGTCTTTACCAAGCTCGAGACTTTGGCAGGTGGGGTGGGGGGATCCAGGCTGCACCTTGAACTGAGAAGCTCAGAACAGCTTCTTTCCTGGGGAGCCCAAGGCTGGAGGTTGTGGCCAGGCACAGCCACCCTCCCCCTTGAGACCCTGTCCATTGGTGCCGAAAGCCGTCTGCTCGGCACCCTCATCATGTTACTGCCATCGTCATACCCATCCTGCCCACGGACCACGTCCCTGGCCCGCCCAGAACTCTGGCCCCTGTCCAGTCCCTCCTGGAGGCAGCCCCTCCTCTTGGGTTCTCAGGCTCTGCCTTGAGCATGGCTGAGGTCCTGGAAGGTGGTCCTGCTGCTGCCCTCATCTCTTCCCCGGGGATCACGGCCTGGAGGTGGAGGCAGTGGCCTCAGAGAAGGTGGCCACGTCACTTCCGGGCTGGCCCTCTGCCCTGCCCCAGTCCTGCTCTGAGGACCCTCCACCCTAGCGTGCCTGGATCTCTCACACTAGTGCCCCAGCTAGCCCCGCTGGAGACCCTCCTTAGTGGGGGCGGGGGTCGGAGCAGGTAGGGGCGGGCACTGGAGAGCGACCTGGGATGTGGCCCCTAGGAGGCCTTGCACTGATTCCCCTGTGATCCTGGGCCTCAGTTTCCTAGGCTGTAAAACGGTAGCGTGGTTGCAGAATCTCTCGTGTTCCAGACAGTCCCTAAGAGTAGGGGCTATTCTGGCCCCAAAGCAGGATGGGTGGGGGTCAGCTGGAGCCCAGGGACCCCACCCCTTGGCTCTGACGAGAGGGGCTTCCTGGACGAGGGGCCCCTGCCCTTCCGCCGCACATGCACCCGGCCTAGCCTGTGAGCGCCTCTTTCCCTCCTCCCGCAGTGCGCCGCGTGGCTCCGCGTTTCTCCATCCCTCCCAGCAGCCAGGAGGTGATGCCAGGCGGCAGCGTGAACCTGACATGTGTCGCCGTCGGCGCACCCATGCCCTACGTGAAGTGGATGATGGGGGCCGAAGAGCTCACCAAGGAGGACGAGATGCCAGTCGGCCGCAACGTGCTGGAGCTCAGCAACGTGGTGCGCTCCGCCAACTACACCTGCGTGGCCATCTCCTCCCTGGGCATGATCGAGGCCACGGCCCAGGTCACCGTAAAAGGTGAGCCTCGCTGGTGTGCTGGCCGTGGCCCGTGGCCTTCCCTGGAGTTGTGGGGGGTGGGGCGGGAGGTGGGCATGACTGCTGGGGGACGGGCAGGACTGAGGTTGTTACTCTGCTGGTGCCCGGCCCCGGAGGTCTTCCTGGCCCTCAGTGGTGGGTGGAGGGCTTTCTGTCAGAGACTGGCTTAATCATTTGAGCTAACAGGTGCTAGGTCCCTGGGGGGCAGACGCCATGCTGGTTAGGAAGCACAGGTTATATTATTCAGGTGGTGTCACCCTGGGAAATAGATTCTCTTGTTCTTCCCATTTTATAAGTTAGGAAACTGAGGCACAGAGTCAGGGAAGTAAATGATGGAGCAGGGTTCAAACCCTGGGGGTCTGAATCTACCACACACCCCTCTAACCATAGAACTGGACCCTCAGCTTTCCCAGCCTCCCAGAAAGAAGGATGGGAAACAGTAGCCAAGGCAGGTGGGTTCTCTCTGCCCTGAGCCCTGGGACAGCCACATGTAGACCAGACTCCTTGGGGTGCTCTGCTTCTTCCCTCCCCTCTGATAACACCCCCTATTCTTCAGCTTGAGTCATCTTTTTAACAGAGCAGCGTCATGTTATAAAAGGGAGAAACACCCTGCGGTGGCTTCCGACTGCTTTTAAGATAAAGAGCAGGATCCTCACTGGCGTGAACTGAGCAGGCCGACAGTCCCGAGTATCACCCTGCCCTCACCCCACCCTTGCCATCCCTGGCTCCACCTAGCTCTCCAGGTCTCAGTCCTGGGAAGCTTTCCCCAGTCACCCCATTCAAGGACTCCCTGGACTTTTCTCCATCTCAGCACCCTGCTTTCTGCTGTCATTACACATGCCAGAGCCATGATTATCACTCACTGATCGCTTCTCTCTCACACTGGTATATAAACCCCATGAGCACAGCGGTGTGACCGTGTGTCAGCGTGTCCTCAACCCTAGCGCAGTGCCTGGCATGCCGTCGGCACTCAAGTCTGTGAGTGCCTGTTGTTCGGGGATTGGCTGTGGACCTGGGGCTTCTCCCTTCCTTTTGAGCCAAGCAATGGTGTCTGTGGGGCCAGCAGCCCCATCCATCTCTCTCAAATCCAGGACCATTACCTGAAGAAATCCCTTCCCTCTCCCCGCCCCTATTAAACACACTCGCCAATGGGTGAGCCCAGATGCTCTGCAGAGGCCTCCCATCTGCACAGGCCCAGGCAGGCCACCTCTGGATCTGTTTGCTTGATGAGCCTCCAGGGCTGGTGTGAGGTCTGAGGAATCCTAGAAGTGAGTTAGGTGGGCACCGAATGACCCAAGGCCCCTGCAGGCACTGACGGGCCTGGCCACCAGCCCCCGCTAGGTGACCTCAGTGGTCACCGAGGGCTTTTCAGGTGATTCTTTGCGGGGGAGGGCTTGGGGGGGGTGGCGTCAACCACACTCTGGTTGGATGAACCCCAGGGCAGGGTTAGCTCCTGGGGTCGTGACCTCAGGCAGCCCTGAGCCTTCCACTTTGTCCCCAGCCCTGCCGAAGCCTCCGATTGATGTTGTGGTGACAGAGACGACTGCCACCAGCGTCACTCTGACCTGGGACTCTGGGAACTCGGAGCCTGTGTCCTACTACGGCATCCAGTACCGCCCAGCGGGCGCGGAGGGCCCCTTCCAGGAGGTGGACGGCGTGGCCACCACCCGCTACAGCATCGGCGGCCTGAGCCCTTTCTCAGAGTACGCCTTCCGCGTGCTGGCGGTGAACAGCATCGGGCGCGGGCCGCCCAGCGAGGCGGTGCGGGCGCGCACGGGGGAGCAGGCGCCCTCCAGCCCCCCACGCCGTGTGCAGGCGCGCATGCTGAGCGCCAGCACCATGCTAGTGCAGTGGGAGCCGCCCGAGGAGCCCAACGGCCTGGTGCGGGGCTACCGCGTCTACTACACCCCCGACTCCCGCCGCCCTCTGAGCGCCTGGCACAAGCACAACACGGACGCCGGGCTTCTCACCACCGTGGGCAGCCTGCTGCCCGGCATCACCTACAGCCTGCGCGTGCTGGCCTTCACCGCCGTGGGCGACGGCCCCCCCAGCACCACCATCCAGGTCAAGACGCAGCAGGGAGGTAGGCGCAGGCCAGGCTGGGTGGTACCCTCCCCCCTCCCTCAGGCCGTGAGCCGGGGCGGGGGCGGCTCTGGGAACAATGAAAGCCCGTATCTGAACACGCGGCCACTGGGGGGGCAGGGCAGGGGTGGGGTGAGGCCCTGCCTCCCTCCGCTGGGGGCCCCTGCCCTCGGGGGATTGGCAAGGCTGATGGAGCCTGGCTGGGGTGTTGCAGTGCCTGCCCAGCCTGCGGACTTCCAGGCCGAGGCGGACTCAGACACCAGGATCCAGCTCTCGTGGCTGCTGCCCCCCCAGGAGCGGATCATCAAGTATGAGCTGGTGTATTGGGCGGCGGAGGACGAGGGCCAGCAGGTGAGCACCCGGCAGTGTGGAGGGAGGACAGCTGCTCCCAGTCCCTGGGGGGTCTGTGCTGGGCTCTCCCATGTAGGCTTTCCTGGATTCTGGGGTCGTGGGGACACAGCCCCTTGAGGCGCTGGGACCTGTGCTGGCCTGTGTGGTTCTGTAGTCTTTGTCACCCCTGTGCTGGGGACAGAGCCCCTAAGTCTGTCCTGGGTCTCCTCGGCTCTGTGGCTCTCATAGCACCAGAAGAGCCCTCAAGTTCCCCGGCCCACATGTCCGTGGTGTTCCCATGCCCATGTGGTCAGTGAGGTGCCCTTGCGTGGGCCACGTGGCCACGTGGCAGGGAGCCAGCCCCGCAGCCATGGTGGGTCCCCAGGGGTCCGCCACAACCCGTGTTCGGCGTGACCTCTGAGGTCAGGGTGGTCAGTGAGTGCTCTTTGTTCTCCCAGCACAAAGTGACCTTCGACCCCACGTCCTCCTACACCGTGGAGGACCTGAAGCCCGACACGCTGTACCGCTTCCAGCTGGCCGCCCGCTCCGAGCTGGGGGTGGGCGTCTTCACCCCCACCATCGAGGCTCGCACGGCACAGTCCAGTAAGTGCCTCCCAGAGCCACGGCAACTACAGCTGGGCGGGTCACGGACTCACACACACACCCCCTTCCCCTCGACCAGGCGGGTGGTCGGTTCCACTGGGCCCTGGGCTCAGTCCGGATCCCAAGTGAGGGACAGGTAAGTGCCCTCTAGTCTGCATCCAGGCGGCTGCTGCCCTCGCTGCTCCCTGCCCGCCTCCTGCCCTCCCTCAGCCCCGCCCCCACCCAGGTAAGTTCCGTGTCTCCTCCCCCATCCGCTCTGCGTTGGTCACATTAGCCCACGGCCACCCTTTGTGGAGGGACTGCTGTGCTCGCTGTGTTTCAGACCTGCTCCAGCGGCGTCTTCCCTCCTGTATCCCCACATCTCATCTCCCTGTTACCCGTATTCCTGCCTCCTGCCCCCTCCATGAGCATCCATGTGAGCCAGGCAGTCGCACTGAGCCAGCTGCCCGGGGGAGAGACGAGACCGCATTGGGACTGTGTGGCACTCGTGTGTTGGACTGTGCATGAGGCTGTGTGTGTACGCACTTAGGAGTGCTGTGTGCTCCTGTGTGCTGCGTGAGACTGATGCCGTGAGTGTGTCCACGTCTGAGCACCCAGCCGTGCAGCCCCTGCGGGTGTCTGCCACTGTGGCTGGGTCTGGGTGTGTCCATTGGCTGTTCTTAGGATTGGGACCCAACCAGTGTGTCTCAGGGTGTCTGGGTCTCTGCACCTCTCCCTCCCGGTGACAAATCGCAAGCCCATGGGCTCTCTGGTCACATGGCCACAGTGAGCCATCGTCTTTGAGGCTATCTGTGATAATGGGGCCAAGTATGTGGGGCTGGTTGGGGTCATGGCATTGAGACAGCATGTGTGATGACATGTGATGGTCCTGTGAGGCCCCTTATGTCACACGGGATTGTGTGACTGTGCTGTGTGTGACTTGGTGTTCCTGGGTTCATTCTACAAGCACCTGTCACACTCCTGCCGGGGCCCATGCACCCTGCTGGGAGTAGCACAACCATGACGTGGCCTCTGCCCATGGGGGTCCTAGTCTAGTGGGGAAGACAGACATTAAACCCACAATTACCCAAATGAGCTTTTAATTATATTTGTGTAAAGTACCGTGGAGGAAACAAACAGTGGAGAGAAGATGTGATGGGAACCTCGTGTGATCTGAGGGGTCGAGGGGGCTTCCTTGGGTGACACGGAAGCCCCAGGCAGAGGGGTCAGCAGGTGCCAAAGACCATGAAGCAGGAAGGCACTTGGTTATGGTCAGGGCGAGCAGCCAGCCAGTATGGCTGGAGCAGCCCCTGGACGACAGCATCTGGGCTTTGGGGACAGGGAACAGGAGAGCTTGCCTGGCTAAGGGTGAGAACGCATGGGACGGCCCGACAGGACACTGGAGACAGGAGAGGCTGTGCATTGGTCTAGGCAAGAGATGGCGGCTTAGGTGAGCTGGAGGTGGGGGTTGGGAGTGGTTTTGAGAGCCGTCTGGGATCCCACTGGCCAGACTTCGTGACAGATTAGGTGTGGAGGTGGGCTGAGGGAGAGGGATGCCTCGGATGCAGCCTTGTACATGGTGTGTAGACCTGGGAGGAGAGTGGTGCCGCTCGCTCCCTAGGATGGGAAATGAGACAGAAGCAGGTACGAGGGGCCCACCTGGTGCCAAGGCCCTTAGGCTCAAGAAGTTGTGTGCCATCCGGGTGCTGACGCTTGGTGGGCTGCCGGAATCCAGAGCTGGGGCGGGAGGTCAAGTGAGGAGGACCAGAGGTGGGAGGGAGTCCAGGAGATGGGGATGTCTTGGAGGTCAGAAGAAGAGGGTTTCAGAGAGACCAGATGTTGCTGCTTAGCGGTCAGGGCCAGCGTGTGACCACTGGGTGTTGTAATACACAGGGGTGGACCCGGCATGAGGAGCTGGAGCCCCAGGAGGCGTGTGTGGGAGACACGGAGGTAGAGAGAGGCTTAGCTGAGAAGGGGGACACTGCAGCTGGTGCAGTAGGGGAGGCTGTGGGGCCAGGGATGGGATGTAGGGAGACTAAGATGGGGAAATCTCGAGCACACGTAAATGTCATTGGAAGTGTGTCCGTGAGGAGTACACAGTGCGGAAAAGAGAAGGATGGTTGGCACCTTGTGAAGTGGGGGAGAGGGCAGAGACTGGCCTTGGACAGGAAGGCACCTCCCGCCTTCCTGGGGTGGGGGAAGGAGAAACTCGGAGCCAGAGCTGGCCAGGTGGTGGATTTGGTACCAAGAGATGCAGGAGCTGCTGTTGGGAGGTCTTGGTTTTCTCTGCAGGGTAGGAGATGGGATTATCTGCCGAGAGGAAGGGAGGTTTGAGGAGCGTGGAGGAGGTGGAAGGTGTTTTGTGTCAAGCGGCGTGGTGGGGGGTGGCGGGCAGAGAGCAGAGACCAGCCAGTGGCCCTGGGCAGCCATGGGTGCTCATAGGGCTCTCGCCAGCCTTGGCGGGCTTTTCTGCCTGCCCCATGTGCTCCCTGGGAGAAGGTGGGCGATGCGGTCATTCAGAGCCTGCTGCAGGCTAGGCAGGAGCTCAGAGTTTGGCGTGTTGGTATGAGTGGTGAGTCTAAGCTGAATAGCAAGGGCAGTGAGGATGGTAGGTCAGCAGGTGGGGACCCTGGGGCCGCAGGGCAGGCGGTGGGCTGGGGACCCTGAGCAGCTGAGCTGGGCCACGAGGCGAGGGCCTGTCGGGGGGTGTTGGAGGCCGGTTGTAGACAGGGTGGCAGCGTCTGGGGCAGGACCCCCGCAGCGCAGGGAAGAGAAGGCTCTGAAGGTGAGGGGCTTGGGAGCCAGTGGGTTGAGGGGCTGCTGGCGTCCCGGGCAGGGTGGTGGCAGAACTCACGATGAGAACACCCCCATGATGACACTAGAGTCCTCAGTGCGACTGGGGTCTGGGAAATGATGAGTGAGGGCCCCTCTGATGGGCCCTTTCCCGTAGACTGCCCCTGAGGACCTTGTGCCTTGGCCGTAGACTCCCTGTCCAGGCAGGCACAGGCTCAGGCTGCCCCGTGCCAGAAGATCCGTTGGGTGACTTGACCTAGGAAGGGAGAGAGCTGTGGGCACAGCCGTGAGTGGTTGTAGGTGTGACCGGGGGTGAGGGTGGCATGGCCCCCGTTGCTTGTGTGTGTCTGATGCTGTGTGTGTTTGGTGTGAGACGGTGGATGTGTGAGGCGCTGTGTTAGAGCCCTGCGTGCGTGTGTGTCTGTGTGGAGAGCCTGTGGTCCAGAGGGAGAGCCGGGCTGACCGGCAGCCAGTGTCGGCAGCTTACCTGGAGGGGCCCCGGGAATAACCATGCCACCCCCCAGGGAGTAGCCCGCCTGGGTGAGTTTCCGCACTCCGTGACCGGTCGCCATGCCTGTGGCCCCCTGCCCTCCATCTGCCTGCTTCCCCCCCCATTTGTCTCCCCCAGCCCCCTCCGCACCCCCCCAGAAGGTGACGTGTGTGAGCGTGGGCTCCACCACCGTCCGGGTAAGTTGGGTCCCGCCGCCGGCTGACAGCCGCAACGGCGTCATCACCCAGTATTCGGTGGCCTACGAGGCGGTGGACGGCGAGGACCGCGGGCGGCACGTGGTGGACGGCATCGGCCGCGAGCACTCCAGCTGGGACCTGGTGGGCCTGGAGAAGTGGACGGAGTACCGGGTGTGGGTGCGGGCGCACACGGACGTGGGCCCCGGCCCTGAGAGCAGCCCGGTGCTGGTTCGCACCGACGAGGACGGTAGGCGGCGCTGGGGGACAGGCGAGGGGAGGGGACCGGGAGCAGGAGAGCTGCCTGGCTAAGGGTGAGGGTTCACGGGACAGCCCCACAGGACACTGGAGACAGGAGAGGCTGTGCCTCAGTCTAGGCAAGAGATGTCCCTGCCAGACAGACACCCAGGGCTCAGCCTCCTGAGCGCCCCGGGGGGAACTCCCTGTCTTCCCGGTACAGGCTTAATGGCCCCACCTGGGGAGATGGAGCTCGTGGGACAGCCTGTGCCCAAATCCCAGCCCCAGGGCTCCCCAGGCAGGGGAGCCTCAAAAGGCTGAGGCCAAAGAGGGCAAGAACCGGGGAGACTGGCGCCAGAGACACTGGCGAGGCTCACCTCACTAGACGTCGGGGTGACGCGGGGCCCAGGGGAGATAGCACAGGTTGTGCTGATTTGGGGAGGTCGAAGGCCTGGTGCCCCACCTCCCCACCGAGTGAGGCAGTCCTGGGCCCGAGGGTGGTCGCAGAGTCCCAGGCTCTTCCCCGTGCAGGTGGAGGGAGCCCTCCACGTTGCTCTGCAGGAACATCCCGATCAGGGCCTTTCCTGGGCTGTGGGTGCGGAGGCACGGCCTTGGAGCTGTGCTGTGCCCGCCTGACTTCCTTGCCCACGCACCTGACTTCTTTCTCCTTCTGGTCCCCAGTGCCCAGCGGGCCACCGCGGAAGGTGGAGGTGGAGCCGCTCAACTCCACTGCAGTGCGCGTCTCCTGGAAGCTGCCCGTCCCCAGCAAGCAGCACGGCCAGATCCGTGGCTACCAGGTCACCTACGTGCGGCTGGAGAATGGCGAGCCCCGCGGCTCCCCCATCATCCAGGACGTCATGCTGGCCGAGGCCCAGGTGTGCACCCTGGAGGTGGTGGGGTCGGTGGGCGGGTGAGACCGTGGCGTTCCACTTTCACTTTGGAGCCCAGGTTCGCTCCCCTCTCCTGCCTGCTGTCAGAGGGACGGTGACACCAAGACATGCTGTGGCATTAGGGGAAGTGCTGAGATCAGGAGGTTAGGGCCAGCTGCCACGATCACTCCCTCCTCTGTCTTGGGTCTGCCCGAGCTGTCCCAACCCAGGCTCTGCCAGCCCCACCTGCCCTGGTGGCAGTCCCAGCCTGGCAGTCACTTCGGTGGCTCAGCCATCGGTGCCAGCAATGCGGAGCTCTGTCGGCATGCCCCCAGGCCTCAGCCCGCCCACACCCCCCACCACCCCCCGCCGCCCAGGAAATGCACTCGCTGTCAGTTAGGCTGGGTTTTTGAGACGTGCCTGCCTCCTCTCCCAGCTGGGGCAGTCACCTGCCCTGTCCAGCTGTTGTCTTGGCAGAGTTGGATGAATCAGGCCAGGCTGATGTTTGCTTTCGAGGGCTGGGCCCGCGGCCCGGCTCACTCACACCTCTCCACTCTTCCATCCTCAGGGCATGGCGTTTCTGCCTGGGAGCTTAGGGTGAGGTTCCTGGGATATTCTCAGCACTGGTTGGCTATCCAGAAGGAGAACCTGGGGCACTGGGAGACTGGACAAGCAGGCCAGAACTTCCCAGTAAGGGGTGGCTGAGCTCAGATAAGAGACCAGGTCTCAGGACTCCCAGGAAAGGCCTGTAATCGCTACCACGACTTCCCTCCCCACACATTCTGTTGAAGATTCACGGCACCTGGCAGTGTGTCTGTGCTGAAGGGCTTTCTGTCCAGAATCAGGGCCATGAGGGAGTGGAGCCTGATTTCCCCCCCAGAATGCAAACATCCCCCTCCCGACCCCGGTCTGGCTCTTCACACCACCCCCGTCCCCCAGGCTGGGATCAGGCTGGTGTTCTTCGTGCTGTACTTAGGGTTGGACTCACCAACAGGCAGGCAGGGCTTTCATGTCTGCAGCTCCGGCTGGGTTCAGTTTTCTGCCCAGAGGGCGCTCTCTTCCTCCTCTGGGCCTGCCCAGCGATAAGGGAGCAGGGGGAGAAGGCAGGCCTGTGGACCCGCCTGCATTCCTGGGGCAGGTTGAGGGCTCTTCCTGGAGCCTCGGCGGGTGGACACACCCACCCAGAAGCATCCCGGGAATGGGCTCCCTCTGGCCATGCCACCCCAGGGGGCCAGCAGCACAGCTGCAGCCACTGCGGCTCCAGAGAAGCTGCTCCGCTTCGGGTGCCCCCTTCTGGTCTCAAGTGGTTAGGAGGGAGACCTTCGTAGGACAAAGGGCACTGTCCTCTTGGCCTCAGATCTCCTGTGACAGGAGATAAACACACACCCGAGCTCTAGGGAAGCCAAGTGAAGGTGGAGGACCTGCCTTTGCAGCTCCCAACACCCGCACTGGGGTCATTGTGCTCCAGGCCAGGAGATGAGCAGATGGGGCCTGGTCCCCCGCCTGGCCACAGGGCCCAGCTGTCCCCTGAGCGCCTGGTCAAGGACGTCACAGCCTGTCCTTCCCCACAGCACCATCTGCTCAGCCCAGGCCTCATCAGTGGGGTGCAGGCTCCCCACGACTGTGTGGCCAGACTTGTCTCCTTTCACGTGTGTGTCTATATCTTGAGTTTGTCTGTTTCTCGTGGTCTCTGACTCCGCCTCCCTGTCTCTTTTCATCCCTGTGATCTGTTTTTCTTTCCTCTCTGTTACTGTCTCTCCCTCACGCTGACTGCATTTTCACCTGTCTGTCGTCTTCTCTCCTGTGATCCCTTCCATCCTCTGGCCCTGTGTTTTGCCTCAACCTGTTTCTCTTTCCCTTTTTGTCTCTCAGGCTCCCCCTTGTGAGGCCCTCCACGCCTATGCCTGGCTTGGATAGCAAGGGCATCCCCCATCCCCCTAGGCAAGGAACCTAGAGCAGGGCTGGGCCCAGCCACACCTTAGAAAGTGGCTGAGGCCAGGAGGGACAGCCGAGGGCCTCCTCCTGTATCTTGTCCCACACTCCTTGCAAGGACTTTCCAAGACAGCTTCCCAGAACAGGAGCAACTGGGATTGCTGGACAGAGATTAAACCAGCACTGCAAGGCGGTTGGCCCAGAGGACCCCATGGTCTGGGGATGGCATGGCCCATGTCCAGCTGTGCCAGACAGCTCTCAACCCCCGGCCCTCCAGTGCCCCAGGACCTTCTTCTCTCCACCTTCCAGCTAGTAAACCTACATGCACCACAGCCTGGAGAAGAACGTATTGAGAATCAGCAGCAGCAGTAGTGCCAGCCCAGATCTGTGCCTTCCTATCTTGGTGTTCAGGCATCCTGGGAAGGAACTGGGTCTTTCCCAGTGCCTGTGGGGCAGGGTCCAGACTCTGAACTTGGCACTCACGGCCTCTGTCATCTTGCTGACCAGTCTGCCCCGCCGCTTCCAGCCACAGCATAACTTCTGCTGTTCTGGGCAACATCACTTGCCTAGAGCACACTTCATAATCTTGTCTTCCCAACTGGGATGCTTCTGAGAGGGAAAGGAGACGTTGCGAATAATCATACCAGGACAGCAAGCTTAGACTAGGACTGTTCCCGACAAACCAGTATAGCCACTTCCATGTACCATACAGATACTTCCATGTCTCCCCACCCACACCAAGTCTGGCAGCCTCTCCCTCTAAGCACCTCCAGGCGGCGCCCTCCAACCCCACAATGTCAGAGAGCCCTGTTGCTCTGGCCCTCTGCCCTCCAGGTCTCTCCTCCTCAGCCCTGGTGCCCCCGGCTGGGCTTGTGAGGCAGGGGCTGGGATCTTTGGATGGTGAGTGGTCCGGGGGTGCCACCCCTCTGGCCTGTGCCTGCCACCAGCCCTCTCCCAACCAGGCCCCCTCGGGGCCAGAGTCCTTCACATCCTATCTCCCTTTCTCTCCCTCTCCCGCGGTCAGTGGCAGCCAGAGGAGTCCGAGGACTATGTAAGTAAGAGGTGTGCGAGCGCGGGCAAGACCTGGGTTAGGCTGGGCTCGTGGGACACTCCCCCGTCCCCGCCTTTCCTCCCAGCCTGAGCTGCCAAGATCCACGGGGCACCAGCCACATCTGGAGAAAATTGGCGTTTACGCCGAGCCCCGAGCTGAGCAGCGATTGGCATTTTCTCTAATCCTTACTTCTCGCCTGTCAAGCAGCAATTTCAGGCCAGTGTTCGAGATCGACTGGGCCCTGGCCCTTGCTCTGGCCAGATGGGGATGGAGTTAAATCCGATCCTGATCGTTAGGCCTTATTGATCCCTGGAGTGAAAAATCACCTGCTCCAGGCCCAGGCTGGGAGGCAGGTCTGGAGGCTGGGTTCCGGCATCGGTGTGTTCTGGAGCCCCAGCTCTGGGAGACCCTCCAGCCAGGGCAGAAGGAGCCTGCGAGGGTTTGGTGGCTGCTGCAGCAGCCCCACCTGAGGCTCAGAGCTGGAGGGACACCAGGGCTGGTGGTGACAGCTCTGTTCCCACTGCGCGGTGGTCCCCTCCCGTCTTCCCACTATTCCTTCTGTGTGGTGTGGCTTGGCCTCCCATGGTGTTTTTCCGCATGTCTCTGGAAATGATGCCTTGGCTGGAAATGGGCATATGGGCAGGGCCTGCCAAGGCAGGGGGACACTGCCCTGGCTGACTTCTCAGGCATCACTGGGGACAGTGTGCTCCCCAGGGTGGGGGGGGGGCGTTCCCTGTCCTCCTCATCTCTCCTCCCTGCCCCAGCAAGCTTTGCAAGGCATACGGTGCTCACAGAGCCAGGGCCTGGATGGGGACAGGAGGGGTCCTACTCAGTCCTGCAGGGTGGTGCCTCGGCCCACCCTCCACCTCCCTCTGTGGTGTGGGTATGCATGCGTTAGTGTCTACAGGTGGCCCTCCGCCTGCTGGTGCAGGAGGAGCCGCAGGCTGCATGGGTGTGCGCGCCAAGAGCCGAGCGAGGTGCTCTGTGCGTGCAAGGCTGTCTGCCCTGTGTGTCACGTGCACCCGGACCTCACGAGGTGTCATTCACAGCACAATGCAGTGAAGGAACAGTGTGGCCCTTTGTTCTTGTCTGAAAGGAAGAATGAGCAGCTTGTCTGCCTTAGGCTTGTGGCTCCCCAGAAAGGCTGGGTCCTCCTGGGCACACATCCACCTGCCTGTACTGCCTCCCGCAGGGTCCAGCACCACACAGCCCCCCTCCCAAGACCTCTGGCCCCGTGTGCCTGGAGTGGCTGGCCCAGTCTGGTCCCTCCTTGCTGTCCTGTGATGGGAATGGGCCCCTCCTCCTCCTTTAGGAAACCACCATCAGCGGCCTGACCCCGGAGACCACCTACTCCATCACTGTGGCTGCCTACACCACCAAGGGGGATGGTGCCCGCAGCAAGCCCAAAATTGTCACGACGACGGGGGCAGGTGAGTGAGGGATTGGGGTCAGAACTGAGGGCGGGGCCGCGAGGAGGGCAGGGCCGGAGCCCAGTGCGTGGTTGTTCAGTCCCAGGCCGGCCCACCATGATGGTCAGCACCACGGCCATGAACACGGCGCTGCTCCAGTGGCACCCGCCCAAGGAGCTGCCTGGGGAGCTGCTGGGCTACCGGCTGCAGTACCGCCGAGCCGACGAGGCGCGGCCCAACACCATCGATTTTGGCAAGGACGACCAGCACTTTACAGTCACTGGCCTGCACAAAGGGGCCACCTACATCTTCCGGCTCGCTGCCAAGAACCGGGCCGGCCTGGGCGACGAGTTCGAGAAGGAAATCACGACCCCCGAGGACGTGCCCAGCGGTTTCCCCCAAAACCTGCGCGTGATAGGGCTGACCATGTCTACCACGGAACTGATCTGGGACCCCCCGGTGCTGGCGGAGAGGAACGGGCGCATCACCAACTACACTGTGGTGTACCGTGACATCAACAGCCAGCAGGAGCTTCAGAACGTCACTGCCGAGACCCACCTGACGCTCTCCGGCCTCAAGCCAGACACCACTTACGACATCAAGGTCCGCGCACGCACCAGCAAAGGCGCTGGCCCGCTCAGCCCCAGCATCCAGTCCCGGACCATGCCCGTGGAGCAAGGTGTGTGCTGCGGGCACGTGGCTACGCCTGGGGACTTCTGTTCTCCTTGACTCACTGACCTTTGGCGACTGTGAGCCACCAACCTCTGGTGTGTGACACTCCAGTCTCTCGTGGCCATGATCACTAACCTCTAGTGAACAGGCGCCACATTCTCCGTGTGTGGCCCCTGACCTCTGCTGTCCTTGACCTACTGACCTCTGCTGGGCAACTCCAATCTCTCGTGACCTTGGCCCACTGATCTCTCATGACTGCATCACCGCTCTTGGGTATGCAACACTAACCTCTTGGGGCCATGACCCCCTGGCCTCTAGTGAACACGGTCCACTGTGCTCTGGTGCGCAGCCACATGGCTTCTCGTGATCGAGTCCCACTGACCTCTGGTCACTCTGACCTGCTGTCTGTAAGCTCCAGCTTCACCCACGCCCTTCTGGAGAGCCCGACCAAGGGTCCTGTGGCTCCTGTCCCACTCGGTTCTCACCATGAGGAAGAGCCGGGGCTGGGAGCTGAACTGTGTGCAGTGGAAGCTGGTGGGAGTGGGGGTTCTGCCCCTCTGCAGCCATCCCTAACCCCCTGCGCCCTGCCCCCCCATCTCTTCCCAGCGGGGAGCCCTCCAGGCCCATTTATTCCCCTTAGGCAGCCAGAGCTGACTCCTCCGTCCTTGCATCCCAACAGTGTTTGCCAAGAACTTCCGTGTGGAGGCTGCAATGAAGACATCCGTGCTGCTCAGCTGGGAGGTGCCCGACTCCTACAAGTCAGCAGTACCCTTCAGGGTAGGTGGGGCCGGCTGGGCCCAACACAGTCCCCGCCCGCGCGTCTGCGTTTCACAGAGTTCTGTCCCGCAGGCCTGGGAGGGGGCCCCTCATCCAAACACGCCGCCTGCGGCCCCCCCCCCCCCCCCCCCCCCCGCTTCCCATGCAGATCCTGTACAACGGGCAGAGCGTGGAGGTGGACGGGCACTCCATGCGGAAGCTGATCGCAGACCTGCAGCCCAACACCGAATACTCGTTTGTGCTGATGAACCGCGGCAGCAGCGCAGGGGGCCTGCAGCACCTCGTGTCCATCCGCACGGCCCCCGACCTCCTGCCACACAAGCCCCTGCTGGCCTCAGCCTACATCGAGGACGGCTGCTTCACCCTCACCATGCCCCATGTGCAGGAACCGGCACTGGTCAGGTGTGCAGACACCCCTGGGGGCTGGGGGCGGGGCCAGCCATGCAAGAGCCAGGGGAGGACGGTCCTGATTCTCCCTTGCCCGGCCAGGTGGTTCTACATCATGGTGGTGCCCATCGACCGCATGGGAGGGAGCATGCTGGCGCCACGGTGGAGCACGCCTGAGGAGCTGGAGCTGGACGAGGTGCTTGGGGACCCGGCCGGGGCAGCCCTGATGGCAGTCCCACTGCGCTGGTTGGCTGTGCCCTGGGGACTCCCCCCAAACTGGAATTATTCCTCTGATTGGCAGCCTGCCCGTGTCTCCGAGGAGACGCACTCTGAGCTGGCTCCTGGGAGCTTTCAGAGAACTCCTGGAGGGCTTACTGAGACCTCCCCAGAGGGGTTTGTGGAGGATCCCCAGGGGTGCGAAGTGGCAGAGACATCTCTCAGATCTAGAGAATCTCAGGCCCTGTGAGCCTTGCAGTCTCCAGGGGTCTAGAGGCCACAGACAGGCTTGAGTGGACCCCCAGCCCTCTCTGGTGAGGGTGAGGGGCAGGTTGCCCAGTGGGCCCCTTCTTAGCAGGTTGGCTGGGAGGAGTGGCACTGCCTGCTGGTGTTTGGCGTGATTCTGTGTGGCCAGAGAGTCAGGCCAGCCTCAGGCCCTTAACGTGGACGGCAAGCCTAGCCTCAGCCCAGGAGCGTGTGCTCCAAGGCCCCTGTGTGACTCCTGTGCTCTGCGCCCAGCTGCTGGAGGCCATCGAGCAGGGCAGTGCGGAGCGGCGCCGGCGGCAGGCGGAGCGGCGCCGGCGGCAGACAGAGCGGCTGAAGCCATACGTGGCCGCTCAGGTGGACGTTCTCCCGGAGACCTTCACCCTGGGGGACAAGAAGAACTACGAGGGCTTCTACAACCGGCCGCTGTCTCCAGGCCTGAGCTACCAGTGCTTTGTGCTCGCCTCCCTCAAGGAACCCGTGGACCAGGTCTCCCCAAGACCCCAGGCCTGACCAGACACCCCCCAGACCAGTCTCAGACACCCCAGAGGCCCCAGACCTGCACTGCAGTCTCAGGGCACTGACCCCTAGGATCCAGAAGGCCAACCCGACCCGTCCCTAGGGGCCCAGTGAGCTGACCAGGCCCAGGTCAACCTCTTAGTTCCGGGAGACCCGGCCCAGAGCCCTTTCTCCAGGTTTGGGGGATGGAGGATGGGCAGTCTCACCCCGGGGCTCACCTGCTGTGCTGTTCCTCCACCGGGTCACAGAAGCGCTATGCCTGCAGCCCCTACTCTGACGAGATCGTGATCCAGGTGACACCAGCCCAGCAGCAGGAGGAACCCGAGCTGCTGTGGGTGACGGGTCCTGTCCTGGCAGTCATCCTCATCGTCCTCATCGTCATTGCCATCCTCCTGTTCAAGAGGTGAGAGCTCTGGCGGAGGGCCCCCTTCGCTTGGACCCGCAGGCCCTCCCCGGCCAGACACATGCAGGCCGGGGCAGCCACACCGGCCTGCACCCTGGGGTGCATGCTCCTGGGCTCGGAGAGAAGCCAGGAGAGGAGAAGCTGTGTGTGTGTGCACGCCCACTGGTGTGAGCCTGGGCGTGATGAGCAGCCACACCCTCACCAAGGACTTTTCAGGTGCATCCCCAGGGCATGTCCGTCTGTCCGTCTCTGTTTTAGTGGCTGTGAGCACGTCTGTCTCTCAGCTTCAAAACACCACCTCCTGGTCTCCTACCTTCAGCATCCTCTCTGCCACCAGCCCTAGATGACTCCCAGCCTGACTCCCTGCCCAGGCCTTGAGGGGCCCAGACCCAGCTTCAGGTCCACATGCCCACGGACACTCACTTGACGGGCGTTTATTCAGTGCCCGTTGTGACCACAGCGTCCACAGCTGTCCCAGACAGAGGGTGTCTTGACCCTTCCCACAGCCTCCCCTGAGGGTCCCTGTCACAGGGGATGGGCACCCCCCCGCCCAGTTACCAACCGGAAATCATCCAAGCGTCACCCTCAACCCTCCTCCCTCCCACTCCCCCCCAGTCTCTTGTGAATATCACTTGATCTGCCCCCCACCACACCGTGAGCTCCCCACGAGGTAACGCACATGCACGTGTTACACCTCAGTCCTGTCTCTTGCGTAGCTGCAGCCTCCTCCTTTTCTTTGCGTGCCCGTTCCTCTCTGTCCTCCTCCCAGCCTGAAGAGTATTTGCAAAGATTTGCTTTGTCACCCTCAATATAAAACTTCTCAGCTTTCACTAAAGAGTTTTATAGCCTGTCTGCAGCCTGACGGTCCATCAGATGCTTGGCTGCTCTGGCCCCTGCCACCACCCCCTACATCATCACTGAACCAACTCAGTTCCTGGCCGGCCTGGCCTGCACCCTTGCACTGCACTCTTGTCCCATCCTTGGAGACTGCTTTCCAGGCTCTGGTGCCACGAGGCTCTGCCAGGCCCCTCCCACCCCCTCCTCACACTGTCCCCCACTGTCTGGTGGTGCTTCCATGGGAACATCGCTGGGCCTGTTTCCAGCACCCAGCACAAGGCTGTCAGCGCACGTGTGTTGGTTCTTGTGTCTGCACACAGGTACACACACGAGGGGGTCATCTCTCCCGACCCTTGACCCTGACCCTTGACCTAGACCCAGTGCCTGCTACCTGAAGTTAGCTCCTGCCTCCCAGGGTGAATAGGGACGAGCTCACCTGGTTCAGGGCCGGAAGACCCATGGGTGGGGAACCTGAGGAGCAACTCCCACACCCACTCAAGCCCCCTCCACTGCCATCTGGGTCCTGGTGTACGCCAGGAGAGGTGACCCCCTCCTTGTGAATGCCACGTGGGTGCCATAGATCAGTCCGCAGTGTCCCCCTGTGTCACGAGAGGGCCTGAGTGTGTGTGGCGGAAACAGTGACGGTTCCTTTCTTCTGTCCTTGCCTGTCTTTCGGGACCTAGTAAACAAGAAAGGTAGGAGTCCTTCTTTCTCTCTTCACACACCTCCCCCTTCACTTCTCGTCCCCATGCACACTGCGGGCCCAGCGGGGAGGGGCGCTGCTTGGATCAGAAACCTCCTGGCCTGTGGCTGGCTGGTCAGCTCAGCAGATGCCGGGGCTGGCTCTGTCACTGTCTCCACCTGTGGCCTGCACAGGGGGTGCCCCTTCTCCAGAGACGGGCTTAGCTCAGAATGCCAATGCTTCCCATGCATGCACAGGCTGACTCTGAACTCCCCAGAGCCTACCTCCAGGCTCCCAGTTGTCTGAGGTTACTGCAGCTCTGCAAGAGACAGAGCCTGGCCTGTGTGCAAGGAGCGCTGGCTGCAGGGCAGTGGGGAAGTGTGGGGTGCACACTCACGCACACTCGTGTAAGTTTCCTCCCCTGATACAGCTGTGTCCCCTGCACAGAAGCCTTAGATACTTATCAGCAGATGGACCCCATAGTCTGTCTTTGATCCTGTCCCCGTAGACCGGGGTGCTGAGGCCAGCAAGGGAAGACTCTGCCCAGCTAGGGGAACGCCTTCCCCTGCTGCTCTGAGCTTTTACCCTGATCCCAAGAGCCAGACAGCGGGAGCCCAGCTCTCTATGATGTTTGCATATTTTATGTGTTGTTTGCATGTTTACTCCTGGTGGCTCCTGCTGCCTCAGCGTGGGGGTCTTGTGGACAACAGCCACTGCCCAGCTGTGACCTGTCCCCATGGGAAGGAGCCACCAGCCTCTGCGACCCCTTCCTTCCTTGCTGTGCTGGCCCACTGTCCGCTCCCTACTTCTGCTCTCTGCCCACCCCCACCCTGTGGCCCTGGCTCCCCTGTGCTCAGAGACCCCAGGCTGGGATGGGAGGGGCAGAGCTGTGGACTTAGAGCTCTGGGGCAGCCGGCCATGCCACGTGTCTCTGCCTCCGCCTGGACCTCGGTTCTCACCAACCACCCTTCTGTCTCTCCAGGAAAAGGACCCAGTCCCCATCATCCAAGGATGAGCAGTCAATTGGGCTGAAGGACTCCTTGCTGGCCCACTCCTCCGACCCCGTGGAGATGCGGCGGCTCAACTACCAGACCCCAGGTAGGGTGGCTCCCCCAGCCTGCCTGCCCCACCTGGGTCTGCCAGTCTCTGCCCAGGGACCCTGGCCTCACCCTGGCCCCCGTCTCCTGTTCCTGCTTTCCACCCTTCTCCCTGTACCCACCCACAGTGAGGAAGTGACCAAGGAACCCCTGTATCCAGCAGCTGGACAGGCACTGCAAGGCCTGGAAGCCTCAGTGGGTGGGGTGAAGCTCCTTAGACCCTGACCTGTCTTCAGTCAAGCCCTCCAAATATAGAGCTGGGACCTTCACAGAACCCATATCCCAACCCCGGGGTGCTGGCCCCTATACCTGCATTCTGACCCCTGCACCCAGAAGAGGGGTTTGTTGGTGGGGCTCATCAGATCTTGTGGCAGGATGGGGCTGTCTGCACCTGACCCTTCCTGTTGGCTGGGCCCAGATTTTCTGTGTGAGCCCTAGGAGGCAGCACAGGATTTGGTGCCTGCCCCTCCTTCCCCACCACTGTCGTGGTGTCTGGCTGTCATTCCAGCCATCTGCACCCCAGCAGACACAGCTCAGACTTCTTCCCGGGGGGGTCATTCCTCGGCTCCCAGGTGCTCCTTTCCATCATGACACCTCTCACCCTGGGCTGGGGTTGCCTCAGTGACAGTCTGAGCTCTGTGAAGCCAGGAACTGTCTTCCTCCTCCGCCATCTCTTGGGTTGGGCGCATGGTGGGTCTTGTTGAGTGCCTGTGAAACACACAGCTGAATGAATGAGTGAGCTATAACACACACAGGGTTTGTGTGTGCACAAACTGCTTAGCGCTGCATGCTGAATGACCCCACCATTTCATGGCTGGAAACAACAGCAATGATGTACTAGTCTCACAGCTTTTATGAGTCAGAAATTCAGATGGGAGCATAGCAGGAACAGCTTGTCTCTATTCCGGAATATCTGGGCCCTCAGCGGAAAAACTCAAAGGCCAGAATCATTTAAATCAGAGGTCAGCAAACTGTGGCCTGGGGCCAAAATATGGCCCACCACCTGTTTCTGAAAATAAAGTTTTATTGGAACACAGCCATGCCCTTTCATACATGTACTGTCTGTGGCTGTTTTCACACTCTAGAGCAGAGTTTAGTAGATATGACACATACCATATGTCTTCAAAACCAAAAATATTTACTTTCTGGCCTTTTATGGGAAAGTTTGCTGACCACAGAATTCTGGAGACTCATTCATTCCTGTGTCTGGTGCCTGACACTGGAGTCAGCTGTGGGTCCACCTGGGGTTTTCCTCTCTTCCTGCACCCTGGCTTCCTGTCAGCACTCCTGAGAGGGAGAGAGAAAGCCAGGCTGCTGCAACCAGGTGTGGACAGATCTGCAAGGAATCAGAACTCCAGGGTGCTGGGGCCTGGAGGGCAGAGAAGCCTCCCCTGAGAGGGATGAGAAGCCCTGGGGGCCTTAGGCAGGCAGAGGGGCTGGAAGGGAGCTCCTTTCGGTGACAGTGGCAGGTGCCGAAGCAACTCGGTGGCACTGTGTCCTGTAGCATTGGAGCTGGGCGTGTTGAGAGCCCAGAGCTGAGTCTGGAGGGTGAGTCACAGAGGGTGCCTGCACGCCAGGCTAAGGGGTTTGGGCTTCATCTTGAGGGCGCCAGGGAGGCATGAAGGGTTTTCAGCAGGGGAGCCGTGGGGTCAGAACTGTGCTCTAGAAGTGTCATCCTGGCTGTGGTGTGGAAGGCAGATTGGAGGGGGAGAACCTGGGGAGGCAGACTGTTGTGAAGGACCTGGACGTGGGGCTGGCCGTAGAGGCCTGCCTGAGCAGCAGAGCTTGGGCTTGATTCCCTGTGGGGTGAGGAAATAGGGGCAGGGGTCCCAGGTTGCTGGTTGAGCAGTGGGATGGGAGGTCCAGGGTGACCTCCACGCCAACATCCTGGCGGGAACCACAGGAGAGGGAGGCGCCAAGGAGCATGCAGTGGTCAAAGTCTGCAGATAGATGAGCTCTCCCCCGGAGAAGGGTGCAGGGAGGGGAGAGGGCGGCCCAAGAGCAGCCAGGGGAGGAGCTGGAATGTTGAGAAAGGACAGATGGGAGGATGGTCAATGAGGGGGAGCCAGACAGAGAGAGAACGCACGGGAGAGGAGTGTCTCTGAGGCCAGGCTGAGAGGGCTGTGTGAGAGCCTGTGGTTTTAGCACTTGGAACCTAGGAGAGGTCCAAGTCCTGGGCAAGGAGCCTTGCAGTGGGTTGAGGCACTAGCAGTGGGGGATGAGCCAGTGGATATGCGGGCCGGGCCGGGGTCTGGATCCCTGTGACTGTGGGGTTCTGAGAAGGGAAGGCAGGGTGGAGCACAGGGGATCTGAGGTGGTGTTACAAGGGATGGGGGACCAGAAGGACAGGAGGCCGTGGCCTGGGGCGGGCCTTGGGGCAGGGCACGCTGAGGGTCATCAGAGGTGCTGAGGTCAGGGGACGAGGCTGCTGGCCGGGAGAGGGGTCTCTGTGCACAGGGTTATCCAAGGAGGGAACCAGTGACCAGAAAGAAGGGTTGGCTGGAATGGCGGCACCGCTGAGGGTCCCCCTTCCCATGTTTTTAGTTCAGCAAATGTTTATTATTTTCCCTCGTGATCTAACTTTGCTTCTGAAAATGCTTGAAGTGAGCAGAAGAGCTGAGAGAGCAACGCGGTCCCCATCTGCCCATCCTTGCCGGGGACTCACCCTTCTGTCTCACCGCACATGCCTTCCCTCTCTCTAAAAGCACACTTCTCTTTTGCCAAATGATCTGGAAATAGCCAGGGTCAAACTTGGTTACCAGAGGCCACAAGGCTGGCTTGGACCTAGAATTTCATCACAGAACGAGGCCCCCAAGGCCGCACAGGCTCTGGGGAGTGGGAGGGGGGCATCTGTCACTTGAGGTGGGTGGAGCTGAAGGGGCTGCAGTGGGCCGGCCCTCCGAGCCCCCCAGACCCCCGCTGGCTGCAGTCCAACAGTGATGTAACCAGAGGTTAACGGGTGTCCTTCACTTGCCCCGCTGTTTTTGTTCTTTTTCTCTGCAGGTTCCAGTGTCCCCAGTTGCCCGAATATCTCAAGTTAGTTTTTCACGTTCCCCGTTTGGGGCCCACTCTGGTTTCTGTGCGTCTCCTCTACTTCTCTCACCCATCGCCTCTGTCCTTCCTTGAGCTCTTCTCTTCTCCGTTCCTGTCTTCGCTCCACCTTCTCACCCCCCTGTCTTTCCCTTCTGTGTCCCGCTCTCTCCTCACCTCGTCCCCTTTCTCTAGCAGCCCCCTCTCGTCTCTGCCTCTCCCACCTCCCGCCTCAGTCCGACTCCTTTCTGGTGCCTCTCCCATCTCCTTGCCCCAGTGTCTCCCTCCTCTTCTCTACCTCTCCCTCCGAGTTTCTTCCTCATCACTCTGCCGTATCTCCGTACGTCGTGATCACTCCATCCACATGCTGGGTGCTGGGACGATGACGTCACAGAGCCTCCCATGGTGACTGGCGCCTTGAGGGCAGGAGCGCCATCCAGAGGAGGGCCCGCGGGCAGGGCACAGGCTGAGGCCGCCCAGCCCTGTCCTGTCCGCTGCCCTCCGCCTGGGTGTCCGGCCTTGACCTGGGAGGAGGACCAGCCACTCAGCACCGTGTCACCTGGCCATGCCCACTCGCGTCCACGACATACACACCCCACCCTGTCCCCTCCCGCCCCCGGCCACTGTGTGCCCTGCCACCCCTGTCGCCGCATGCGCCGCTGTCTCCATGCCACCAGTGCCGCGTGCTCCATGGTTACATGTGTTCACATGCGCACATACATGCATCGGGCTGTCTCCGCCACCCGCTCAGGCCTCACGCTAACTCTGCTCATGTACCCGCCCTGCTCCCAGGTATGCGAGACCACCCGCCCATCCCCATCACCGACCTGGCTGACAACATCGAGCGCCTCAAAGCCAATGATGGCCTCAAGTTCTCCCAGGAGTACGAGGTGAGCTATCCCTTCCCCGCCACCCCCACCACCGCCATGTGCCTGGCCCCAGGCCAGCTCCTGTCCTGCCTCAGGCTCCTTCTGTGTGTTTGGGGAACGGGTGGTGGGCTCTAGGCTGCTGCCCAAGAGCACAGACAGAAGGGGTCAGCAGTAGCCAGTGGGGAACTCAGCTTCTTAGGTACCTGGCCTGGTCAAGACCCTTTCAGGCACGCCCTGATGAGGACACAAAGTCACATGCCCCTGAGCTAAGGGAGGCAGATGGAAGGTCATAAACACAATCAGTAATAACAGCTGGCGTTTGTAGATAGCTCCCTGAGAGCCAGCTCCAGGCTAGGGACTCTGCATGTACCATCTATTTATGTTCTCCCTACGACGCTATGAGATGGGAACTGGTGTTATCCCATCTTACAGATGAGGAGGCTGAGGCTCTGAGAGGGGAATGACTTGCCTAAGGTCACGTCACTGATGAGTAGTGGAACCCATCTGGCAGCCTGTGCCTGCACATGCGTGTGCTCAGAGTGCCTATCACAGAGATGGGGAGTCTGGGAGCCTGACTCCTGCCGCCTGGGCTGCATAAACCCTCCTGCTCCGGGCCTTCCAGGTGCCTCCTTCACCATGGTTTCAACTCTGCCTGCTTCCAGGAGGCGCTAGTGGTAAAGAACCCACCTGCTAGTGCAGAAAACATAAGAGACGTGGGTTCGATCCCTGGGTTGGGAAGATCCCCTGGGAAGAAAATGGCAACCCACTCCAGTATTCTTGCCTGGAGAATCCCATGGACAGAGGAGCCTGGCGGGCTACAGCCCATGGGGTCATGACTAAAGCAACCGAGCATGCATGCATGCTGGAGGCTCAGACTTCTGAGCACTGCTCCTGGAGTCAAGGCTTCTAGCTCCCAGCTGGAGAGATGCTTTGCTAGTGAAGGAGGTGATGAGAGCCCAGACTTCTCTGAGGAATACTGGCGAAGGTGTTGTTAAAGGCTCCCGGCGCAGGCCTGGCACAGGATTCGCCTCGGTGGATGATGGATGGATGGGTGATTGAAGGGCTAGCTCTGCCCCGCCTGTGCATCCACTTCCCTCCGGTCACATGTCCTTCCACTTTGCTTGCTGTCCTGGGCACCAGGGCTCCACTTCCAAGGGCTGTGGGTCAGGTTTCCGCAGAGGAAATTGAGCTTGGCAAGCGAATTGATGATCACATCTGCCTAGAGGACAGGGTGCTGCCTCTTCCTGTGGAGCTCCCACTGGGGGGCCTGCCCTGCCCAGGGCCCCCAACAAGGGGAACGGAGCCACCGAGTCCGGCTCCCTGCCTCCAGTTCCCATGAGGCCTTCACTCATCCAGTTCCACGTCCCACTAACCCTTCCTCCTGTGGGGCCCTGCACCCCACTGTCCAGGCCTGGGATGTCCTCTCACCTTCTGCCGCTTCTCTGCTCCCATCTGCGCTCCCCTTATAGACCTTCCTCCTCCAGGAAGCCGCCTCTGGCTACCCTGGCCTGCCGAGAGCTTTTCTGCAGCCAGGATCCAATAGCTCTGTTACCTTTAATGATCAGCAGTATCAAGCACTTAGCCCGTGCTAGCTACTGGGAGTGTGGAGACAAGTGCCCACAGGGAACTCAGTCGGTGGGGAGATGAGTGGAGACAGAGAACGCTAAATGTGACCTCATGCCGTGGTGTTAAATATGCAGTTGTACAGAGAAGGTCCTCCAACAGCAGCACGAAGCAGGCAGGCTAGGGGTGGGGTGTGCTGGGGTCTCACAGAAGTGCTCACTGACCTGGGGAGAGTAACAGGCTGGTACAGAAACCAACAGACAGGTGGTGTGCTATGCTGAGAACTTCGGGTTGTATTCATCTGTAAAAGGAGGGTAATAATAGAACTGGTTTCATAGGAGGATTGGGAGAGGGAATACACAGAGGACAGAGAATAGCGCCATGCACACAGTAAGTTTTTGCTGAGATTCAGCTGTTGTTATTATCATCGGAAGTGACAAGGACCCATGGAAGGCATTAAGCAGGGAATTGATCATCAGATTGGCATTTTATAAGGATTATTTGCTGGCTGCAAGACAGAAAGAGGCAGGGAAAGAGGCAAAGGAAAGAGGCAGGGAGATGCCCAGTCTGAGCGGGGGTGGCCCAGCTGAGGCCCTGGCAGCAGGTTGGCAAGAGCCAAGGAGCTGGGGGAGCATCGGGACGTGGTGACGGATGGGACGGGGCACAGAGGAGGATGACGGGCAGGTTGCAGCCGCGGCTTTGAGAGCCACAGCAGCAGAGCCAGATTTGCACAGGGGAGCCGATGAGCTCAGCTTGGCCAGGGCTGAGACTGAAGAAGTGTGGGGCATCCTGGTGGGATGTCAGGGGCCTGTGGGCTCTGCAGACCGGGGCTCGGGAGACTCGGCTACAGCTGAATTACGTCAGCTCCGGCATATGGGCGTGAGGTCCTGAGAGCCAATGAGCTCATCCAGGAAAGGTTGGAGGGTGTAAAGAGGGCCGAGGAATGAGCCCCGGAGAAGCACTGGGTCCTGCCTCCGAGAAGGAACAGCCAGAGAGGCAGGAGGAGAGCTGGACGAGGCCATGCAGGCGTGTCTAGAGCCCAGGAGCATTGGGTCATGCACCGCCTCTCGCTTCTGCCCTCATTCGTAGCTGGGTGCAGGGCTTGAGGGACGTCCCTGCCCACACCCCACCCCTACCACTCTCCTAGGCAAGGGGATTTGGTACCTTGGTCAGAGGAGTCTTCGGTCTGTCACATTGCTGACCAGTTCTCTGTGCCCCATGGCTGGGGAGCTGGGGCTCAGCCTTCCCCAGCACCATGGGACAGAGCCAGTGACTGTGGCCTGGGAGCAAAGGTGGATGTGGGCACCACCTGGAAGGCCGGGTCTCCTGGGGGCACTAGGTAGAGATCGGCTGTTGCCCCGCTCCACCTGCCTCCTTCATTCCCTGCAGTCGATTGACCCGGGACAGCAGTTCACGTGGGAGAATTCAAACCTGGAGGTGAACAAGCCGAAGAACCGCTACGCCAACGTCATTGCCTATGACCACTCTCGAGTCATCCTTACCTCCATTGACGGTGAGCCTAGAGTGGGGCCCCCTCCCATCCCCTGGCTCTCCTCCTCCTCCTCCTCCTTACTGGGTAACGTCTCCTCCAGAAGAGGCCCACGGACTAGGTTGGAGGCCCCGAGATAATGCTCTCCCATGTCCCTTCTTGCCCGTAGGTGTCCCCGGGAGTGACTACATCAACGCCAACTACATCGATGGCTACCGCAAGCAGAACGCCTATATTGCCACGCAGGGCCCGCTGCCTGAGACCATGGGCGATTTCTGGCGGATGGTGTGGGAGCAACGCACAGCCACTGTGGTCATGATGACGCGGCTGGAGGAGAAGTCCCGGGTAAGGCTGTGCGGCAGGGCCCTGCTGGGGTTGGGGGGGGCAAGTATGGATATTCGGCCACCAGGTGACTTCGGCCACCTCTGCCTGTCCCTGTGGGAAGACGCCCTTCAGGGGACTTGCCAAGTGCTGTTGTTCTCCTGGGTTGTCCTCCTATCCCAGCTGCTGGGTGCTCCTGGGACATGGCATATTCCCCAGACGCCAGTGGTTTCCTACCGTGTTAATATGTTGTCCCAGATGCTGTCATTTTCCAAGAATGTTAATATGTCCCCCAATTACTGCATGTTTCTGGGACGTTCACGTGCTCCGTAGATGCTGGAGTGTTGCTGGGGCCTTAACACATCTCCTAAGTTAATTAGTGGAAAGAGCTGCTGTTATTTGCTTTTGCACAGCAAAGCATTGACTGGAACATAAAATTTACAGAGCTTGAAAATGGTGTATAAACGTCATGGGTAAATTTGGCAGAAAACGCACCTGGTGCGATCTGGTCATGAATAAATGATTTTCAGTTACATCCCTCATTCCCCTCGCAAGGGCAGGGGTGGCGGCCTAGTGTGAGACCCTGAGGGTCTCATGAGAGGGTGGCATGATGAATCTGAGATCTCGGGGGCTAGGGGCCTGGCAGCTAGCACAGCTGGACCTTCCTCCAGCTCCTGCCCTGGGCCCTGCCTGTCTGAGCCTTTGAGTCCCTCTAACACCCTTGCCCGCTCCCCTGCTGTCCCTCTGCAGGTGAAATGTGATCAGTACTGGCCAGCTCGTGGCACCGAGACTTACGGCCTCATCCAGGTGACCCTGCTGGACACGGTGGAGCTGGCCACCTACACTGTGCGCACCTTCGCGCTCCACAAGGTACAGCCCTGCCCTGGTGCCTGGCCCCAGCCTGGAGCCTATGAGCACCATGGTCTGGGCTTGGTGTGCTGGGGGAGCGGGGGCAAGTGGGAGTCAGTGTTGGAGGTCAGGGCTTGGAGGTGTGAGCAGGCCATGCCGGCCGGTGCCATGGGCAGGATGGACAGAAGCAGCACACGAGCTCCTTCAGGCTTTCCTGTGTGACTTCTGAGTCCCGTCGGAGAGCCGGGGTCTTGCCTCAGTGTCGGGGCAGGCTGTAGCAGGCATGGTTCCTGGTCACTCACTCCATCTCTGCTGCTGTCCTCCGCAGAGTGGCTCCAGTGAGAAGCGGGAGCTGCGTCAGTTCCAGTTCATGGCCTGGCCAGACCACGGAGTCCCCGAGTACCCGACCCCTATCCTGGCCTTCCTGCGGCGGGTCAAGGCCTGCAACCCCCTGGACGCAGGGCCCATGGTGGTGCACTGCAGGTGAGGTGGGGGGCTTCCAGCGGGGGTGGGTCAGAGGTGAGGGAGGCCTCTGCCCAGGCTGAGTCCTGCTCCTGCAGCGCGGGCGTGGGCCGCACGGGCTGCTTCATCGTCATCGACGCCATGCTGGAGCGGATGAAGCATGAGAAGACGGTGGACATCTACGGCCACGTGACGTGCATGCGGGCGCAGCGCAACTACATGGTGCAGACTGAGGACCAGTATGTGTTCATCCATGAGGCACTGCTGGAGGCTGCCACATGTGGACACACGGAGGTGCCCGCCCGCAGCCTCTACGCCCACATCCAGAAGCTGGGCCAAGTGCCTCCCGGGGAGAGTGTGACTGCCATGGAGCTGGAGTTCAAGGTGGGCTCGGGGCTGGGCCTGCCTGGCTCCAGTGCCCGGACTGGGTCATGGGGATGCCCCCCCACCCCCCCAGCCCAGGAAGCCCAGCCTGACCAGCCCTTCCCTCTCACTAGTTGCTAGCCAACTCCAAGGCCCACACATCTCGCTTCATCAGCGCCAACCTGCCCTGCAACAAGTTCAAGAACCGCCTGGTGAACATCATGCCCTACGAACTGACCCGTGTGTGTCTGCAGCCCATCCGCGGCGTGGAGGGCTCCGACTACATCAACGCCAGCTTCCTGGATGGCTATAGGTCAGCATGCTCGTGACTGCCCACCACACCCACGAGTAGCTGGGCTTGCACCTGGCCAGTGGGGAGTACAACAGGGTTGAGCTGGCCCGGAAGACCTGGGTGGGCTTCTTAGAGGAGGGGTGAGCTGAGTGGGGCCCCAAGGGACTAGGCAGCCATGGGGAGACCCTGGGGGCAGCAGCACCTCCAACATGTCCAGTCTTGTGTCCGCCCCAGACAGCAGAAGGCCTACATAGCCACGCAGGGGCCTCTGGCGGAGAGCACGGAGGACTTCTGGCGCATGTTGTGGGAGCACAACTCCACCATCATTGTCATGCTGACCAGGCTTCGGGAGATGGGCAGGGTGAGCACACCAGTGGCCCTCCTCAGTCGCGGCCTTTCCCTCCCGGCCCCGTGAGCATAGCCTCAGACCCTTACCACCACCTGCGGCTTTCCGCTCCCAAATCCTCTGAAATCTGGAGCTCCCCTTCCCCCCTCCTCCGCTCCCCACCTCCTCCCCTCCTGACCCCAGGGCCGGGCCCTCTGTCCACAGGAGAAATGCCACCAGTACTGGCCTGCAGAGCGCTCTGCCCGCTACCAGTACTTTGTCGTCGACCCGATGGCCGAGTATAACATGCCCCAGTATATCCTGCGTGAGTTCAAGGTCACGGACGCCCGGGTGAGTGGACGGGGGAGTGTGTATATGTGCCTGAAGGCATGTGTGTGACACTGCCTGAGCCCCTCTGGGGTGGGGGCTGCCTGCATGGTACCCCCGCTCCAACTGTAGGAATCTGAGGTCAGGTGTGGGGGCGGCGAGCCCATTTCCCAGGATGGCCTCAGGGTGCTTAGCTGTGCGGCTGCCCTGCCCACCTGGCCAGGGGCTGCTGCCAGTCCAGCCCTGACCCTGGGCCCTGCCACCTCTCCTAGGATGGGCAATCGAGGACGATCCGGCAGTTCCAGTTCACGGACTGGCCGGAGCAGGGCGTGCCTAAAACGGGCGAGGGCTTCATCGACTTCATCGGGCAGGTGCACAAGACCAAGGAGCAGTTCGGGCAGGACGGGCCCATCACAGTGCACTGCAGGTGGGGCTGGCCCCGCGGAGGGCTGGGCGGGTCGGGGGCCTGGGGGCGGGAGCCCTGACCCAGTGCTCTCCCTGGGCAGTGCTGGCGTGGGCCGCACCGGGGTGTTCATCACACTGAGCATCGTCCTGGAGCGGATGCGCTACGAAGGCGTGGTTGACATGTTCCAGACCGTGAAGACCCTGCGCACACAGCGCCCAGCCATGGTGCAGACGGAGGTATGCAGGCCACTGGCCAGGCTGAGGCTGGCTTCTCCCAGACACATGCCACCGGTATTGCCCAAAGCACAGGGGAGGGGTGAGCTGGACCCACTTCCCCATCAGCAGCTGTGCTCTGGGTGTCGGTGGTATGCCCGGCTCCCAGCTAGGGTCGCACGTGGCCGTCCCTACAGGGGTACACGATCTAGGGGCAGACTGGGGTGGCATGGAGGAAGCCCGAGCAGATGTCTGGGTCCAGCCCCTGCTCCTGGCCAGCAGAGGCTAAGTCCATGAACCATTGGCTGCAGTGCATGTGCCCTTGGCCACGTGTAGGGGGTATCCGCCCGTGCTGACTGGCCCCCTGTCCCGTAGGACCAGTACCAGCTGTGCTACCGCGCGGCCCTGGAGTACCTCGGCAGCTTTGACCACTATGCAACGTAACTACCGCCCCCTCTCCTCCGCCACCCCCGCCTGGGGGCTCCGGAGGGGACCTAGCTCCTCTGAGCCATACCGACCATCGTCCAGCCCTCCTGCACAGATGCTGTTGGGACCACAGCATTTCAGGAACATTGCCACACCGCACAGAGAGCCCAGAACTGCCCTGGGCGAGGGGGCGGGCCAGCAGGCAGGCACCACGGCCCTGTTTCTGCCCTCTAGGCCCGCCCCAGAGCCACTGCGAACTCTCTGTTCTGCTGCCGGTTCTCATGCTTCTTCTCATGGGGTGGGGGGATGGGAGCGAAGCCTCCCTTTTTATACGTTAAGTGGGGTAGACAGGGATTATAGCCTCTTCCCTCTGACTTTTCTTTTTGCAAATTCTTAACTGCAGACTGGGCTGCTGTGGGGGACGGGGGAATAGTTTGTTTTCTCCTTGAGTTCACTTTGGATCCTTTCCTCTGGTACGACTTTCACTGCTGCAGGATGGAGCGTGCCTTCCCCGTGTGTGGAGCCGGGGCCGCCAGCCTGAGCGGAGGCACCGCTGACCCGGCTGCCCTTCCCGTCCTGCTGACAAGTCCCTATTTCAGCCAAGTGCAGGGAAACACATTTGGGGGGTTTAATTTCTGTTCCATTTTTCCGTAAGAGCCTTATTTGAGGCCCCACAGACCGTGGTGGGGGAGAGGAAATGGGAAGCCCTCACCCCCAGTTGTCTATTCCAGTGCGTGTGTAACATTCACAGCCCAGAACCACAGATGTGTCTGGGGGAGCAGGCATTCCTCATCACCATCGTGTTTTGCAAAGGTTAAAGATAAAGCAAAGATGAAAAACAAAAAAAAATCCAAAAAAAAGGAAAACCCAAGGACAAAAAGAGAGGTACCCCCTGGCCTCTTCTTTAAACCCCTGAGAGGGTAGGTGGCTCTGGGCGCCTGGGGGTTCCCTCTGGGTCCACAGAGCCTGCATTTTGTCCAGCATTGCAGGATGGCACGGTGTTGGTAGGCTGTGGGTCTGGCCATGTGGCCGAGACCGTGGGCACTGGTCAGGGTGTGTGCCACGCCCCACGCCCCTCAGGGTCAAGCAGGGGTGCGGCTGGCCGTTCAGGTCCAGGCCAGTGGGCCTGGTAGCACATGTCTGTCCTCCGAGTGGGGGCCAGATGACTTCCTTCCCTGGTTTGCAGCTGTCTTCAAAGCCCCCAAGGAGCGCTCTTTCCCACTCCTTCAAGATGCCCTCCTAAACCAATGTGGCAAGACTACTGGACTTCTCTCAATGGTACTATCCTCAACTCTTATTATCTCGGCTTGCTGAGGGGCAGGGAGAGGGCCTCTTCCTCTGGGCAGCACTATCTAGGTAGGTAAGTGGGGGCGGGAAGGGTGCATAGCTGTTTTAGCCGAGGGACGCGAGACGAACGTCCCCAGATCTAGCTAGGCTGTCAAGATCAACAATCCAGGGTTGGTAATGTTGAATGAGACATTCATTTTTACCTTGTGGATGCTAGTGCTGTAGAGTTCACTGTTGTACACAGTCTGTTTTCTATTTGTTAAGAAAACTACAGCATCATTGCATAATTCTTGATGGTATTAAATTTGAATAATCAGATTTCTTACAAATCGGGTCTCTTGTCTCCGCTCTTTCTGGAATGCGAGTCTGGGCTGTCAGTCCCTCAGGGTGGGTTCTGCCAATTTCCTGCCCCTCAGGAGACAGTGTGACTGTCCTGAGGATCTGGTGATGAGACAGGCTCCCGGGATGGTGATGAGTTTCAGATGGGAGCCTGATGACTGAGCCACCAAGTGTGTGGAGGGAGCACCCTGACATGAGCCCCAGCTCTGCCGGCTGGCAGCACACCCCCTGCCACATTCTGGGTCACCACATCCCCTTCTCCTTCACCTCCTCCCTCTCCTTTTCCCCTGCTGTAAGGAAAAGAATGGCACTGTGGCAGTGGCAGCCAAGACCATAGGGAAATTGGTTAGAGGATACTCGTAATTCCTGCAGTGTGGGTATTAGACCCAGTGTGGCCATCCGGCTCCTGGACACAGAGCAACATTTGTAGTGGTCTCTCCACTGGTAATCAGATAAGTCCTACCAGGTTGGAACCTTGGAACTTTTGGGGACAAGAGATAAACACGGTCCAGAACAAGTGGAGAAGAGAAATACATGTGGTCAGCAGTGACCAAACTATAGAGAGTATTGTGGTGAGCCCAACACAGAGGTGCTACGGCAGCACCTCACCCTGCAGCGGGATCGGGAAGGGCTTCCTAGAGGAGGTGACGTAAGCTGGATTCTGAGTGATATGCTAAGTGAGGCTTGCTTTCTTTTTTTTTTTTTTTTATTAGTTGGAGGCTAATTACTTTACATCATTGCAGTGGTTTTTGTCATACATTGAAATGAATTAGCCATGGATTTACATGTATTCCCCATCCCGGTCCCCCCTCCCACCTCCCAAGGCTTTCTTTCAAAAGATGGGAACAGCATTTCCAATGGAAAGAGTAACTTGTACAAAGGCTTGGAAGCAAGAAACAGACTAACAAATGTGATAGACTACAGAGAACACCCATGCATGGGGTAGGCAGACAGAAGGAGACTAAAGGGAGCTGAGGCGTTTGAGCTGGTTGTGAGCTCCCTGCTGGGTGGCGAGCCTCTGTACCATGCTGAACAGAGGCTCTATACCATGCTTTCGAGGCCCTCACTGCCCCCCAGTGTTGCCAGCAGTCTCTGGTGGCCGTGGTTTCTCCAGCTCCTAGCTCAGTGCCTGGCATATTTCTTTTCATTCAGAAAAACAGCGCCGCCATCATCGGATTATTCTTGATATTAAATTTAAATTTCCTAATAATGAGCCATTAAACATTTTCAAGTGAGGGTAGGTATCAGATTGTCAGTTGAAGAGCAACAGTATATGAACTGTACTAGGCAGACTCTGCAGACACTGCTTATGGGCATGATCACTTAGCCTCAGAACAACTCAGCAGCCAGACCACACAGGGTAAGTCGGTGCCGGAGCTGGGACCCACACCTGGTTAGTTCCAGAGTCCCTGCCCTTTCTATTGCCTGGTGTCAGGCCCCCTCCTCTGAGCTGTCACCCTCTCCCAGCCCACTCCTGGAGGCTCCAGGGCTCCCCATCACAGTGTGAGGCACCCCATCTACAGGTTCCCCAGTCAGGCACCTCTTCTCTTCCTCACCCTCACAACTAGTCACCAAACCCTGCCCTTTTGGCCTCTTCTGCACCTGTTTGATTCTCTGCATTTCCAGGACCCGCCTTCTCCTGTCTGGACTGCTGTCATCCAGCTCCCTGGTCTGCCTGCCCCCCAGCCCTGCCCCAGCCAACCCATCCTCAGCATTGCCACCTGAATGATTCTCTCAGCAGACATGACCGTGACACTGTCCTGACAAGACCCGGCCAGGCCTTCACAGTCAGCCCAAACTCCATGGGTTTCTGAGGCTGCAGGACCCTGCTGTGCAAGTAATTTGAAATAGGTATTTTTCATGTGATCCTCATAGCAATGTGTGGGGTGGGTCCTATTAGACCACTTTGTAGATGAGAACATCAGGCCTCATTCACTCATTTAACAAATAACTTGAGCACGCGCCATGGGCTGCTCACATCAGGGCACAGATTTCTGCCCGAGTGGTGTTTATCCTCTTAGCAGGAGGAAACATGCATGTGAAAAATAATACATGTATATAGTTTGTTAGAAAGTGATAGGTGTTATGTATGGGGTGGGGGATTAGAATAGGTACATGGGGAAGGTTTGGTTAATAATCATGGTGGTCAGAGGAAGCAGCATTGAAAAGATGGGATTTGAGGAAAGACAAAGCTGGTGATGGATTGGTCTGAAGGTCTTTGAAATGAGCATCCAGGCTGGAGGAGCGGCTGGAGTGGAGGCCCTGGGCAGGAATGTGCCTCATCTGTTGAGGCACGTGTGGCCATGACACCGTAAGCAGGGGGTGGGAGAGCAGTGGAAGATGAGGTTGGAGAGGAAATGGGGCAGCTTTGAGGCCAACGGGAGGACTTTGGCAGAGATCCAGGTGTGAGCAGTGGCCAGATACCAGTTCTGTCTTGGAAGCAGAACTAAGAGGATTTGTTTATGGATTGGGTGAGAGAAAGGAGTCAGGGTTGACCCCACAGTTTTGGCCTGAGCAACTGGAAGGATGAAATTGCTGTTTGTTGAGAAGGGGAAGCTGTGCATAGGAGTTGAGTGATTTGGAGGAATTTGGAAATTTCAGGAGGGCCTGCCTGACTCTCCAGGGCTCTTTCCCCACTGCTACCTGCCCATAGCTAGAGACAGAATCAGATGCATAGAGGAAAAAAATATATTTAGAAGGAAATACACCAAGAGCTGTGAGTGTGGGTGGCTTTTTTCTTTATAATTTTCTAAATTTTCTGTAAAGAATATTTTTAAAAGGACAGACTTTTAAAATGGTATAACCAGTACTTCATTTTATTTCACCATGCTGTGCCTCTTGGGGGAATCTTAGTTCCCTAACCAGGGGATCAAACCCATGCCCCTGAAATGAAAGCGCCAAGTCCTAACCACTGGCCTGCCAGGGAAGTCCCAACACTTCATCTTTTAGAACAACAAAAATCTTCCATATAGAGATGTAAAACATTAAAGTTTTCCCCATTTCCTTGCCCCCCAACTCCCTGGGGGGAATTCCAATTTATTCTATATTCTTCTGGGTATTTTATATGAATCTTAAAACATGTATAAACTTTATTTTTATACAACTGTCGTCCTGTTGTTCATATATTTCTGCAAATTGCTCTTTTCATATTAGTGGGAACTTCTTTCCATGCTAGTTTTTTTAACAGTTTTTAAACTGCTACATACTTTTCTGTTATGGATATGCCATAAATTTTTTTAATGGTTATTAGTATAGCTTTTTTACTAAAGGAAAAAGTAGATACAGACTTTCCTGGTGCTATAGTGGATAAGAATCTGCCTGCCAGCGCAGGGGTCACAGGTTCGATCCCAGCCTGGGAAGATTCCACATTGCCACAGAGCAGCTAAGCCCGT